TCCATTTGCTTTTAATAATTCATTGTTATATCATATGGACATAATTCATTAATTACAAAAAAATGATAATATATACTCTTAAGTCAAAAAATTGATAATATATACACTTAAATCAAACAATATATGTTAGTAGAAACAGTGCATTATGAGCCTACTAATATAACTCCATGTAACTAAAGATCCCTGACCACAGATTTACTGTATCCTAGAGTCCAAAAGTACCATCCCCCAAAAAATAACTAATATTTAGACTCTGGATAGACTCTCATACATATGTCATGTTTAAATGCCAATATCTAAATCTTAGCCAAATCTTCATAAATATGTCAATGACTTTAACAACTCACTGTATAAAGATGATTAGTATCCCTTCATTTTATTGGTTAATATTCCAGTGCAGTAATTAATTGACTTGAACACTCCATGTTTTTTAATTGTTAATATGTATATAAAAGCTTTCTGTACAAATGTACCCCTTTTTTTGGATGGTAGTTTTGGACTCTACGATACAGTAATACAGCATAACTTGATGATTCATAAATCTGGTCAGGGATCTTTAGTTACATGGAGTTATATTAATAGGCTCATAATGCACTGTTTCTACTAATATATATTGTTTGATTTAAGTGTATATATTATCAATTTTTTGACTTAAGAGTATATATTATCATTTTTTTGTAATTAATGAATTATGTCCATATGATATAACAATGAATTATTAAATGAGGTAATGAACTCTATCTAAACTTTTTGAGTGCAGTATCATTTTTTGGTATTTAGCCTTATGCTTAACCCCTTAAGGACCAAACTTCTGGAAAAAAAGGGAATCATGACATGTCATACATGTCATGTGTCCTTAAGGGGTTAAACTCCTTTACTGTGTTAACCTCTACCACTTCAGCTGGAAGGCTATTCAATGCATCCACTACCCTCTCAGTAAAGTAATACGTCTTGAGAGGGAAGTATTCCTACATCTGACCTTCAGTACTGTGACTTTTGGTCCTTGCAAAGAGGTTGTGTTTTGTCTTCACCAGTCCCCAATACTTGCGGCTGCAAACGAATTTCTGAATCTACACTCCATTTTGTAAAGCTGCTTTCTTATTTTGTTTAATACTGTAGTATATTACATAGTTACATAGTTACATAGTCTCATAGCTGAAAAAAGACTTGCATCCATCAAGTTCAGCCATCTTCACATTTGTTTTTTGCTGTTGATCCAAAAGAAGGCAAAAAAAAACAGTTTGAAGTGCTTCCAGTTTTTGCAAAAAGCTAGGAAAAAAATCCTTCTTGACCCCAGAATGGCAGTCAGATTTATCCTTGGATCAAGCAGTTATTACCCTACATTGAAAGATTATATCCTTGAATATTCTGTTTTTGCAAGTATGCATCTAGTAGCTGTTTGAACATCTGTATGGACTCTGATAAAACCACTTCTTCAGGCTGAGAATTCCACATCCTGATTGTTCTTCCAGTAAAAAAACCTTTCCTTTGCCTTAGATGAAATCTAATTGCTTTATTATTATTATGTTATATTTGGAAGCTCACTATATAAAGGAAAATGATATTTATTTATCAAATGGCATTTTTTATTAAGAAATCAGAGGGAATCAGTTAAGATCCCTTCAACATTTCAGTAACAAATGAATAAATTGAAAAAGAAAATATGTATCTCTTTACAAATACTTTTTTTCCCAGAAATATTAAACAAAATAATTATTTTGTCCTCGTTTTGCCTGCTATCTATATATTTGAAAAGGATTGTCTTCATAACATAATACTATGGCACGGCATTACAAACTTACGATTTACTATTCATACTTTTTTTAAAGAACAAAAATTTCCCTTTTTTATTTTATTTATACAAAAACAAATATTTTTAGGGGGGGAAATGTACCTATCCTTATCTTACATTGATGTGGTTATAGAATTAAAGTTATATATATATGTGTAGTAATAAGTGGAGCAAAGTGAAACACCACTTAGAGACAGTGGAGAGAATGGTATACAAACGCCATAAGTGTTGGATGATTCCTCCAAACAATGATGGTAATATGCAAAGGAAAAAAATAAAAAAAATGCAATGATAGTGCAGATGGTTAACAATGATTAATAAAGCACCTCACATCTGCTTAATAAATCCCTTATGCATCTCATAATATATGAAAATTATATATCATCATAACAGTGATGGGCCAAAAAAACAAAATATAAAAAATGACATAAATTTATTGTCTGCTACATGCAGAATATGACTCTCCTCAATTGGATGTATGGTACAATAGAGGGACGATTTAACAGCCCCCCTCTGCTCTAGTTAATATAGGGACATTTGCATTTTTATCCTTCCCCAACCTGTTCAGCATCAGGAGTGCCAGATCCCTCTCATTTTCTCTAAAAAAGGCCCCAGGGTAACTTTCAGTCTTTTTGAACCCCTGTATTATCCCACACACCTTCCCCCAACCACTTCTCTTGATACCTTTCAAATTGCTACTACCCTGCAGGCATTTTGTCATGCTTGTTAGGGTAGTATGGACAGGGCCGGTGCAAGGATTTTTGCCGCCTAGGCAAAAGTAAAGTTTGCCGCTTCTCGCGACATCACAATGCCTCACCCATAAGACCTGTCATAGCACCCACCCTAGTGCTGCAGTGCTGCAGTGCCGCTGTGTTTACATTAAAAGGCCTGCAGGGACAGGCTAGAGACACCAGGACCACTACATTAAGCTGCTGTGGTTCTGGGGACTATAGTGTTTCTTTAATGTGAGGTAAATTAGAGATTAGTGCCACGAATAATATACTAGATTACCTACTTACAAGCAGATGAGGATGATGATGGGCTCTAGCTGCAGTCTGGCTCCACTGGTCTGGTGTATAACAGGATCTCTGGAGGCTGTTTGTCTGTGGTCACAAAATCAATGTTCTGGGAGAACGAGAAGCAGCTCCATTTTTTGGGGGCCCTTTACATAGCTCAAGGTCTGGGTCCCAGGGTCCACCTTCATGTTCCACCAATGAGTTTATTCACAGGGGGTAGAGTGTGTAGGGGATGTCCTGATTTGTGTGTAAGGAATGCATTGTGTGAATCTGTGTTTGTATGTGTAAGGGATGTAAGGGATGAAGTGTGTGAGTCTGTGAGGGGTGCTTTGAGTGTGTTTAAGGGTTGCATTGCGTGTGTGTGTGTGTGTGTAATGCATTGTGTGTTTTTCTGTGTGCAAGGGGTTCATTGTCTTTGTGTGTAAGGGGTGCATTGTGTGTGATTGTGTGTGTGTGATGGATGTCAATCTCTCCCCCCTCCCTTGTCACTCTCTTCTCCCCCCCTCCCTTGTTACTCTCATTCCCCCTCCCTCCCCTGTCACTCCCCCCTCCCTGTCAATTTCTCTCTCCCCGTCAATTCCCCTCCCTGTCAATGTCTCCCCCCTCCCTGTTAGTTCCCCCCGTTAGTTTCTTCCCCCCACCTCCCTGTTAGTTTCTTTCCCCCCACCTCCCTGTTAGTTTCTTTCTCCCCTCCCTGTTAGTCAGTTTCTTTCTCCCCCCTGCTTCTTTCTTTCACCTCCTGTCAGTTTCTTTCCCCCCCAGTTTCCTCCTTGTCAGTTTTTCCCCCACCTCCCTGTCAGTTTCTTCCCCCCCCTCCCTGTTAGTTTCTTTCCCCCCTCCCTGTTGGTTTCTTTCCCTGTCAGTTTCTTTCCCCCCACCTCCCTGTTAGTTTCTTTCCCCCTCCCTGTTAGTTTCTTCCCCCTGTCAGTTTTCTTTCCCCACCTCCCCTGTCAGTTTCTTTCCCCACCTCCCTGTCAGTTTCTTTCCCCCACCTCCTGTCGGTTTCTTTTACCTCCCTGTCAATTTCTTTCTCCCCCTCCCTGTCAGTTTCTTTCTCCCCTGAAGGTGGACCCTGGGACCCAGACCTTGAGCTATGTAAAGGGCCCCCAAAAAATGGAGCTGCTTCTCGTTCTCCCAGAACATTGATTTTTGTGACCACAGTTACAAACAGCCTCCAGAGATCCTGTTATACACCAGACCAGTGGAGCCAGACTGCAGCTAGAGCCCATCATCATCCTCATCTGCTTGTAAGTAGGTAATCTAGTATATTATTCGTGGCACTAATCTCTAATTTACCTCACATTAAAGAAACACTATAGTCCCCAGAACCACAGCAGCTTAATGTAGTGGTCCTGGTGTCTATAGCCTGTCCCTGCAGGCCTTTTTTCGGTCTAGACCTTCCAGCTCATTTGTTCATGACCCAAATGTAGTGGGTGGCTGCGTTTTAATTACATATACTCAAAAAAAAAAAAACAGCTTCAGGGCTGTAATCAATAAAATGTAAGCTGCAGTCTGCGTTTCAGCCAGTGCAGTCCTCAAGGCTAGATTGCTACATTTAGTTTTATTGTTTTAACTAAAGTAATTAGCAGAAATTTAAGTCGTTAATTTTAAGGGTATTATTTTTAATGGTACCTTTTTATTCCCAAAATATTCCTTTTGCATCATTTCATTTTCTGATTTTATTTTTGTGTTGTTTGCCTTTTGATTCACAGTTTACATTTACAGTGTAACAAAAAAGTTCAAAATCAAAAGAACACTATTAAAAAAACAAAAAACAAACTCTTCCACACAGGCAAACAACTTTTAAATTTTTCCTGTCTGTGCAAGGAAAAAAACAATCTTATCCCTGGTAATATCATTAAATGTATTAATTATTTATAGAAGTGGCAGTAAATCTGAGAGAAGGATAAAAAGTGGCATAAAGACATATTATTTTGGTCCATGCACAATATATATATATATATATATATATATATATATATATAATTTTTTTTATTTTTTTCCTCTTCTTCTGTTTATTACAAACGTGCTTCAATGTAGTACTAACATACGGTAAAATTAACATAGTTTTCCCTTTAAATTCGTATTAGGCGTTACAAGTGCACTGAATTTGAAATAAAATAAGAAGTCATGCTTTTCTATTCGAAAATGTACAAAAAAAAATAATTAATGCATTCACATCCATACTTGCAGGCTATCGCAGTGTGCAGATCATGTTTGAACACTAGATGGCAGTCTAACGCTATGTGATGCAGCAGGAAGTCAGGCTGTTTGTGCCTTCCCCCTGTGCTCGGCGTGGAGTGACCTTTTACTGCAGAGACACGGTGGGTGACTTGTGGGGGGTCACATGGGGCTAGTGTGTCTGTGTGGTGTGAGCTCAGGGCCTGACTGTATCATTTTAAACATAAATTAAGCCTTATTCAGATGTCTGATCACCGGGAGAGGTTTAACCCTGTCTTGGTAAATATGGTGAGACATTTCGTTTGCTGTGCAGTGTTAGCTCTCATATTTACAGATGGCATTGATAAAAAGACAAAGATAGGGCATTTACCTGATTCACCTGGACCACTAATTGGTGCTGCTGATGACACACAGTTTTATAAAATAAATAAGGGGAGTAGAATGTTCATATTTTTTACACAGACAGCTATGAGTTGCTCTCACAGTAACCCAGAGTTACATGTTGTCACAGGGAGTCTATCAATCATGGAGTCTCCTGTGGCATTCTGGATGTGATTAATTAGTCATTATCCGCTAACAGCATGTCATCTCTGTTTACTGCTAGACAGCACTATTCATATTCTCTAACCTTTCAGGAAAACAACACTAGAATAACAAAAACTAAGGGATACTATAGTATAGGCATCAAAACAACTACTAACCACTAGAACTACTACAGCTTATTATAGTGGTTCTGGTGTCTGCAGCTGGTCCCTGCAAGCTTTTCTTTCTTTTCTTTATTTTTTTTCTTTAATATATAATTTTTTAAAAAATATTTATTTTATTTATTTAGAGAATATCTACTATAAACTGAGTGACCTTCTTTGGAAAAGGTGTCAGGTTACTCCTCTAGAAGGTAAGAAGGTAAACCCTAAATGACCAGGAGTAACCCCAAAATAATCAAATAAAACTTAGCTTTTAATAAATAATTAAAATATCTTATCATAAATGTGCAGCATATCTGCAAAAAATATATCCACAGAAAAAATTATATTAAATAGAAAAAAATATTGTTATTATAATGATATGGTATTAACCAATACAGGAGTCAAGATAAATACATGTATTAAGTCTGTATAGGTAATTGCATAGAACAAAAAAGCAACAAATTGTTGACACAAATACATTGATTTAACACCATTCAGAGGTTATTAGTAACCAAAATGTAACAAGATGTAACCTATATCTGCTACATTGGATCACATCAAATTGTTCCGGAGGAGAGCTATATAATGTCTGAGACAAAGTACAGAGTAACTATCATATCCTGCAGGAAACGAAGATTCCCTACTCTGATGTGCCTTCGTGTGCACCCCTTAATAAAATTCTGGGTGTCCTCCTCCCCCCTCTACTAGTAATCTCACGGTGAAAAAAAATATATATATACACTTACAAAAAATAGAAAACGAAATTAAATACTATTAAAAAAAATTAAAGAGTATAGTTAATATCAAAGAAGATCGTAGTGCTTGTCATCTCCCCATCTATTGGATCAACTAAATACTCTCTGAACGTCGTTTTCTATTTTTTGTTAGTGTGTATATATATATATATATATATATATATATATATATATATTTTCACCGTGAGATTATTACTAGTAGAGGGGGAGGAGGACACCCAGAATTTTATTAAGGGGTGCACACAAAGGCACATCAAAGTTTTATTTGATTACTCCTGGTCATTTCGGGTTTACCTTCTAAACGGTTTCCCTAAGTGCTTTTTCTTCTTTTTTCCTATTATTTAAAGAATATACACATTTTCACAGCTTTTCACAGACATATATTACATTAAAACAGGATTAACATCGTACTATAGTTGTTCATATAGAAGTAAAGGAATTTTCTCAAAAAAAACAAAAACATCTCCATACATAAGTCAATTTACACAAATTATCAAATTGTCTTATGACAACATATTATCTTCATATACTTCATTATGTAACCCAGTTTTCAAGGCCCCTTTTATATCTAAGTAGTGTCTGAGATTAATATTATTTTAATACCAAAAAAGAGGAAAGGAAAAAAAGAAGAGAAAAACAAAAAATCCTTAATGCTCGACATGAGGTCAAATTAAACCAAGAGGGCTACCATGGTAAAATTATCTTATAGGTTGTTTGTTTGTCCTAGGTATCCATAGTTCTGCATAGGTCATTTGGATACCAGTATTAGAAATAAAATTAAATTCCATCTTATGCTGAAATTCTATTTGTCCCATAATCTCCTGCCATGGGATAGGCACTGAGCATTTCCAAGCTCTTGCTACACATATTTTAATTTAAAAAAAATGTGGATCAGGAGATATTTTTGTCTCTTATCTTTAGAAGGGAAGTCAATATTAAAAAGAAACCGCTGAGGACTAATTTATTTTACTTCCGGGAATAAGGAATTTATAAGTTTAAGCAGTTGAATTTTAATATTCCTTAGACCTGTGCATTCCCACCAAACATGATATATATATATATATATATATATATATATATATATATATATCTATATATATATATATATATATATATATCCAACATCCACCCCACATCTTCAACATTCCACGGGATACTCCGGTGAAATTTTGTGGAGTCTTACTGGGACCATATACCACCTTTAGATTATCTTTAGATGTATTTCATAAAAAGATACACTATAGATGCAACACTTAACTAATAGTGTGGCTGGTCCATTCCGAGAGAGAGAACATTTCCCCAAGATATTGTTCCCATTTCATAAATGGGACTATTTGGGATTCCTGTTCTATTGATTCTAACAGTTTAATGGATCTAGAGTAGTGATGTCCCGAACAGTTCGCCGAACGGTTCGCCACGGACAGCGAACATAAACATAAACTTTGACTCTGTACCTCACAGTTAGCAGACACATTCCAGCCAATCAGCAGCAGACCCTCCCTCCCAGACCCTCCCACCTCCTAGACAGCATCCATTTTGAAGCTGCATTCTTAGTGAGCTGTCCAGGAGGTGGGAGGGTCTGCTGCTGATTGGCTGGAATGTGTCTGCTGACTGTGAGGTACAGGGTCAAAGTTTATGTTTATGTTTGCCGAACCGTACGGGACATCACTAATCTAGAGATCACACCCTTCTTTTTATAAAATGTATAAAGGAGTCTACATTGTGGTTATAGAGTATTGTTTTAGACATTACAAAGTTTTTAATCCTTAGGTGCTGAAAGAGATCTCTAGATGGGAGATTATATTTTACCTGTAATTGTACAAATGGGACAGGCTTAGTCCTATCACATAAAAATGAAATCTTCAATATAACATGAGGAATCCACAATTGAACATTTATGTCCTCTATTACATATTGTAACAATTCCAATGGGGCACTGTAAACTAATTTTTTACTAACAATTTTGGAGGTAATAATCATATCTATAAGGATTTTATTAGAGTATACATCAGTGTCCAACTTCCCTTGTTTTAAAATGCCAATCCAAAAAATAACACATTTATGTCTAGGGCTATCTTCCTGTTCTAGTATGGACCATGATTGATTTTTTAACTTCTGGATTTAGCCACAGTAATAGATGTGATAACATACTGGCTTCATGGAATTTAACGACATCCGTAAAGGATAATACCCTCTTTTAGAAAGCTTTTCTAAAGGTTATCATATGATATCCTAGGCTGTTTGTCTAACCAGATATACTTAGAAAATAGATTTTGGAACTGGCCAAGGACTCCTTTTCCTACTTTATAGGGTATCTCCCTAAAATTATACAAGAGTTTTGGTATAAGGAAAGCTTTGATCAGATTTAATCTGCCTATCCATGAGACCTTAAGCTTCCTCCAATTATCCACCTGTTGTTGCAATTTTTTTAATAGTATATAGTATATTAATATTATTTTAATAGAATAATTAGTTTGTATCAAATTTTCAATATCAAAGGAGATTTTAATTCCTAAATAATCAATATTATATCTTTCCCATGAAAAGTGGAATCGTAAAGTCAGAAGTTCTTCCTGAGCCTTAGTTAAAAAGGAGGATAAGATTTGAGTATTTTTTTTTCTAATCTTATAATTTGAGAAACTACTGTAGCAAGATATAGTTGCTAGAACAAATGGAATTGAAACTAGGGGGTCTGTCAGGGTGAGAAGCACATCATCTGCAAAAAGGGAAACTTTAATTTCTCAGTGAAATATCTTAATCCCCTTTATATTAATATTCTGCCTGATCATACTGGCTAGAGGTTCAATAGTGAGAATATACAGCAGGGGTGCCAAAGGGCATCTCTGTCTGGTGCCATTTTTAACATCGAAGGGGTCAGATAAAAAAAAAAAAAAAAAGGATTAAAGGGACAATATAGTCACCAGAACAACTACAGCTTATTGAATTTGTTCTGGTGAATGGAATCATTACCTTCAGGCTTTTTGCTGTAAACACTGTCTTTTCAGAGAAAAAGCAGTGTTTACATTACAGCCTAGTGATAACCTAACTGGCCACTGCTCAGATGGTTGTTAGAGATCCTTCCAGGGTCATGGCTGCCTAAAATGCATCCACACATTCAGTATCAACATCTTCTGCATGCAGACACTGAACTTTCCTCATAGAGATTCATCGATTGAATTCATCTCTATTAGGAGATGCTGATTGGTCAGGGCTGTTTTTGAATCACGTTGGCTCGCCTCTTTGTCAGTCTCAGCCAATCCTATGGGGAAGCATTGTGATTGGATCAGACCACCACTTCTTATGATGTCAGCAGACTGCTTGTTTTTCTGAGTCTAACAGCATGCAGAGTTACAGCTTCAGGCTTGAATACAGTAAGATTTTGCTATATTTATGGAGGCATGAAGGACCCAGGGGGGCTAGATTGTGGTGTTAACACTATAAGGTCAGGGATACATGTTTGTGTTCCTGACCCTATAGTGATTCTTTAATTGTTTTTGCTGAAGAGTTCATGTATTGGTTTTCTTCTTAAATTGCCCCTGAGGCCGAACTGGCCCATGACATAGTCAAGGAATTTCCAATTGACTCTGTCAAAGGCCTTCTCGGCATCAAGTGCCATAATAACAGATCACAATTTATACTTGTTAATTTATGGATTAAATTAAATATCCTACGTGTGGTATCCGTAGTGCCTCTCCCCCTGACAAATCCTTACTGGTCAACATTAATAAGATCACCAATGGCCTCCTTAAGACGACTAGACATAATTTGAGAGAAAATTTTCATATTTATGTTAGAGATATAGGTCTATAATTAGTAATAAGTGATGGATCCTTATCTGTTTTTGTTATAGGAAATGGATTATCAACCGACGCTTCCATATACATTTTCAAAAGGATAGGAGCAATAAGTCTAGAAAATGTTTTATAGAAAATAGCGGAAAAGCCATCAGGGCCAGGCGCTTTGTTTAATTGAAGGTTATCTATCACGTCTATAACTTCAGACAACAAAAATGGAGTGTTCAATATATCTAATTTCTTTTGATTTATTTTTTGGAGCTTAAGTTTAATTAGAAATTCTTCCATTTACTTATTGCTTTTCTCTACATCCTTTAAATTGTATAGAGATCTATAGAAGTCTACAAATGCTTTAGCAATATCGTTTGGTGAAGTTAAATGTTTATCACCTATAACAATTTTTTTTATGGATTTATCTTAAAGGTGGTTCTTAATTTTATTTGAAAGATCTTTATTTATTTTATTGTTGTTATGATACCACCTTTGCTTAAGGAAGGCTATATTTTTATCAGCCGTATTGTATATTTATTCTTTAATAGTCTCCCTTAATCCCTTAAGGACACGACAGAAATATTCCATCATGATTCCTTTTATTTCAGAAGTTGTGTCCTTAAGGGGCTAAGCTGGCTATTTCTTCACCAGTTACACCAGTTCGTTATTGACCTTAATTTTATTTAAGCGTTCTTTATTTGCTAATTTAAATTTCAACTCTTGCAAAGATTCTTCCTTCCCCCGTTTTAGTTCTGATCCTAGCTTTATCATTAGTCCCCTTGCATAACTTTTGAGAGTACACCATAGTGTTGCCGTGGAAACTTCACCATTATCATTAATAGTCATAAAATTGTCTAATTCAGATGTCAAAGTTTCAATATTATGTTCAGATTTCAAAAGAATTTTGTTAAGTCTCCATCTTGTCCTTGGCCTAAAGCTCTCTTTTAGTTTAACGTAAATAAATACTGGGGCATGATCCAATATAACTATAGATCCAATATTCGATTTAATAATTGACCCTAGAAATCCTGCCTTCACCAAAAACAAATCTATATGGAAATAAGTCTGATGAACCTGTGAGAAAAAGGTGTAATCTTTCTCAGTAGGGTTCAAAGTCCTCCAATATAGAGAGTTCCTACTTAGAAGTTCAGAGAAGTCCAACTAGTTGGATTTTTGGGGCTTTTGTTCTCTAGTATTTTTAAGGCCTTTTATCCACTCTTGGATCTACCACACAATTAACACCTCCACCAACTAACTACATCGGATTATAGTTTGGTGCATAGCTATTACCAAAAGTGTATCAAACACCGTTAATTTTTTAAATAAGAATCAAATATCTACCAGCCGTATCTTTAGATAAATGTATAAATTAAAAATTAACTTTGTTAGAGATAATAATAGCAGTACCTCTTTTTTTCTGTTTACCTTCCATATTTGCGCTATATATTAACGGGACTTTCTTAAACTTCCAAAATCTATCTGGGGGATCAATCCAATGTGTTTCCTGGATGAAAGCAATATCTATACCATTCTCAATCAGAAATTTGTATACTGCACCCCTATTCTGGGGTGAGTTCAAACCCTGGACATTCCATGAAATTCATTTAAGTGAAGTCATAGAACCTATTTTCCGTGGATGGCCCCATGTCGAGTTTCAATCCAATAATAAAAATAACATAAGTAAAAATACAGAAAAGAAAAATCAAATAAAAAATTAATCTAGAGAAGGGGAGTTGTCCCTCTCTAGCAGTCGAGTAAGGAGACAAACTTACATTTATCCCACTAGACATATCCTGCCAAAATTGCAGGGGTGATGAGGAAGTACCAATATCATGAAAGTTAACTACCCCTATACACAGTGGAGAGAGAAATGCGAAAACTGACTCAATAAAGATATCAAGAACAAGGATTACATCAATCCCCTTTCCTATTCCCAAGACCTTTTACTAATATTTAACTACTCCATGAATATCTTAGTTATTAGGGAATTATCTCAAAGTATATTATTAAGAGGAATATTCTGAAGGGGGCAAAACAAGTCAATAATAACTAATTTATCCCCTCATTATATTAATGATTGAGTTTCACCAATGTTAGATCAAAACACTGAATTAGAACAGTCATATATAAACAGTGTATATTTCAAGCCCCTATTACATTACCTAGATTACCTATATTTTTGGTTTAATTCTTCCACTATTCATACCACCAGACCTATGTTGAGGGGGTAGGGCTATTTTAGTTGCCACTACTTAAAATATGTTCCATTTAAAAAAATTGTTTTCATGATATATCATCCGTATATCCTTTTAAATCCTTATTATATCCAGCCTACATATTAAAATAACAACCATATGAAGTTCCAGCTCTCACATCCTTAATTATTTTCTTTCTATACTATTAACCATTTGCATTCATCAATGCTATACAACATATAAGTTGAAATACAAGACATATGTCAACAATTGTCAAAGGTAAAGGTCATACCAAAAAGTATACCCTAAGAAAAAACTAAGTGACTAATTGGTGTTTCCCTTAAACTCTCTTTGTATTAATGATAAACTACTTTCTTCGTGAAAAATATAAATTTGAGAAAACATTTCTCCTCTTCCAACTGTCACAAAATCTATCAAAATTAAATCCAATGTATGAAACTTATAGTTCCATTTCCATAGTGAGAAAGAAAATCCTTATCCTTCATGCTTTAAGATTAAGTTTACCACAAATTACTAAATCATGTGTAAGTGAAAATAGCACGTGTAATTAAATAGTCAAACTCAGATGTGCAGATAAACCAACTTCATAAAACTCAATATTTTTTTAAAGTGTTGTGAAACTCCTAAATATATAGTGCTAACCACCATTATTCTGTTAATTGAATATACCTATATATTAAATCCATCCACTAATCGTGTAGCCATTTGTTTGCCAAAAAAAAAAAATACCTAAATACAATTTTACAAGTGCGCTTCTCTTCACTTTTCCAACCTACATGTAGACATCAATAGGAAATAAAAACAATAAAAAAGGCTGCGCACATAAAATAAAGTCCAATTAAAAGGAAAAGAAAAAAGTCCAACTGGTTTATCCTTACAGGTATCCTTGGTTGATGAGGTCTTCTACTATTGTAGTGGTTTCACTTATTATGAAAGATAAAAAGAGAAAAAAAAGGGGGACAACCAATGGTGTAGTACGTAAAATTCAGATATAGACGTAAAAATAATAGTATAAAACTCACATTTACCAGAGCTAATGTCCAGCTCTGGAGTGAAGCGCGTCACTCCAGAGCTGGACATTAGCTCTGGTAAATGTGAGTTTTATACTATTATTTTTACGTCTATATCTGAATTTTACGTAGCTACACCATTGGTTGTCCCCTTTTTTTTCTCTTTTTATCTTTCATAATAAGTGAAACCACTACAATAGTAGAAGACCTCATCAACCAAGGATACCTGTAAGGATAAACCAGTTGGACTTTTTTCTTTTCCTTTTAAATGGACTTTATTTTATGTGCGCAGCCTTTTTTATTGTTTTTAATTATCTTGTCTTAAAGGGTTTGAGGGATTCCCCTTTTTTAAGGTTGCTGCCCAATAGTTATCTAGCGCTGTCTCATTCTTCTTATATATCAATAGGAAATACTCTTAGTAAACGTACCAGCCATATACTACCATAGCATAGAGCCATAATTGCTTAGGCAACAACTTATTTTCTTTATACCAGAACAGTTGTTTACTCCAATATATATAGTTGAATTCTATCATTTGTTCAATAAAAAGGATGGGCCTCCAGAATATACTATAACCCTTTTACAATAAAACTAAACAGATCTCAATGAGCTATTCCCTTTCCCTCCCTCTCTATAAGGGCCAAATAATTACTCTTTTAACTTATTCAGTATAAATTTTACTAAAGGTTCCAAGATTGAATTGCTTCTTGTGCAGCGGCTGCTTCTTTAAAGAGAGAGTGCTGATTTTCAAAGAATACAGTTAATGCCGTGGGAAAGTTCAATTTGTATTTAATACTATGAGATCTCAGTATAGCGGTCTGAGCCGCGAAGCTCCTTCTTTCCTGCCAAGTCGTTAAAGATAGATCTGAGTAGAGCGTGATATCTTTAAATTGTGGATCTGAAATTGAATTCTTCTGTGACGATTGCATAATCAGGTTTATAATATAATTATTGGAGAAACAAACAGTAATGTCTCTTGGAATATCTGACGACATATTCTTCGGTCTGTATAATCTATGATGTCTTTCAAATGGAAATTCTCACATAGACCTTTCAGGGATAAATTTTGAAAAGGCAGATCTTAGGAAGTGGTCCAGCTGATCAAAATTAATCGATTTCTGGGACCCCTCTCAGTTTTATGTTGCTCCTTCGAGACCGATCCTCCAGATCAACTACCTTTGCTTCAGTAAATTAATCTTCCCTTCCAATTGTATATACTTTAAGGTTAGATCATTAGTCGCTTGCATTTTTTGAAGTGTATCAGATTGCAAATGCAGTTTAGAAGATAATTGGAATAACTCCAACCGTAGAATATTAGACTTATCTTCAGAGTCCTGTTTTAGTTTAAGCTATAAGGCATCAAGTGCTTTAAGTATTTGTTGTGTAATATACTGAGAGGTTACCAAATGGGCTTCCTGGGTTAAATTTAGAGGAACGTATTCTCTGTGTTCACCTAAAAATGGCCTTTTAACTAAGGAGTGATCTTGAGATTTAGGTGAATAAATATGAGTTAATATTTTTAGTTTTCTCAATATATACATATGAAATTTTCTCTTTATCTCTTTTGGGAGACATTTTAATTGTGATTCTAAGAATTCCTTTATACCACGTTCCACCCACAAGAGAGAGGAAGAGAGGGGAAAAGAAAGATAAAACAGCAGACCAAAAAAAAATAAAATAGTTTTTATCTCCGCCTTGGGAGATTAGTTTCTGGATTTTAAGCAATTGCCTTCCTATTAATCTTCATCCAGGGATTTGTAGAACTACTATAATTTTCAGAATGTACCGACATGAGTATATATTACTACTTATCCAGAAGAGTGGATACCGCTGGGTGATCACAGCTTCCCAGCCTCCATTTCCAATGCCAAGCTGCCGCAACTCACCGCTAGAAACTTTTACAGCAAGGTATATCGCCTATAGTGAGCGAGAGCATGATGGACAGCTAACAAATTCATCGGAGGTCATAAGTATTCCTTCAATCCTTTGCTCTTTTGCCTCTTGTCCTTTGCAGATTTACAGGTTTAAACTTCGACGACTGCTTCAACGTTCAGCGCTTTCAAAAGATCCCCTCCTCTGACCCATATCCTCGTTGTGACGGGAGCATGCGTGCTCACGTGTCACGTCATCCCCCTCCCCGGAACCAGACAGTTTGTTATGATGTCATTATCCGCTAACAGCATGTCACCTCTGATTACTGCTAGAAACGATTATTTTTGTAATTAAGTAATTCTCATTTTATTATTCTGTGTAATCTAAATAAGAGATTATTAGAAGACTGTTGGAGTCTCAAATCGCACTTCCAATTTCTTAAAGGCAAGTAACCTAATATCCAAAAGGACTATAATCACTCTCTATTAGGATACTTCATTGATATATTAAAGAAAGAGAGAAGGAGAGAGGAAAGGAAAAAAACATTCTCCATACTCTCTAAGAATAAGGAAAAAGAAAAATAGCTTCTACAAAAACTACTGAAGATAAAAGAAAGAAAGGAGGCGAATACAGAAAAGATTGTCTGGCTTTTTCTCCCCTTCACAAAATAAATATCAAGCTCTGCAAAAGAGAATGGAATAATCCCCACAGAGTTTATTACCAAAACACTCCACCCAGCAAAAACAAGTAGGAGTGACGGAAGATATGCTGGTTAACTATTTAGAAAAATTTGCAGAAGATATTAGAGAAGACATAGCAACTATCAGATCAGAAATAAAACAAGATTTTACAAATATCCAGAACAAATTAGCTAAATTGGAAGAACATTCTATCAGACAGGAGATTCTATCTAATAATTAACAGGAGACAAATTCCTTGCTGAAAGAGAAAATAAGTCTGCTTGAATCCAAAATTAACGATATAGAAGATCGCTCTAGAAGATCTAATATCAGAATACGCAACATACCAGAAGAAATTGCAACCAATAAGCTGCAGATATATTTGCAAGATTTTTTCAATAAGTTGTTACCTAATAGAGATAAACATGAATACTTAATGGAGCGTTTTCATCGACTATCTAGACAGCGAAGTATCCCATATAATGTACCACGAGATGTAATTATAAAATTTCATAATTTCCAGACAAAAATTGATATTTTGGCATCAATGAAGTCTAAACCCTCATTAGAGGACAATTTCAAAAATCTTCTTATATTCCAAAATCTTTCCTATACCACGAGGACATGGAGAAGAGGATTTGTGACCACTTTAAGCTTGCTGAGGAAAAACAACATTAAGTATAGATGGACATATCCCAATATGATCAAGGTTACATGGAACCAGAGAACAGAGAATTTGGATTCCCTGGAAAAACTGCTAAATTGGGTTAAAGACTGTAACATCACATAATGCATCGTGTTGAATGCTTCCTGGATTAGATAGTAGTATTGCTAAAGATAAAGTAATTAACCTGTGGCGAAGTAAATGTCCACTGAGATTCTGCAATAATGTATTAAAAGAAAAAATACAATATAAAACCCACCTTGTACGGTAAACCTCCTATATCGAAAGAAGTATTGTATAAAGTCTCACAAGGCTGGTATTAAAATAAAAAGGAGCTTTATTAAATATGGCTCTATATATAAACACAAGTCAGCCCCTGTGAGAACAATTGATTGCTGCGAGGAAAGAGAAGCTATGTAGTCAGTCAGTATACATAGCACCAAATGGACCTAACAGTAGAGATAATGTCAGCTTGTATGAGGCACGAAGGGCTATTTAAATGAGTCACATAAACCCTGTTGGGTGGCCAAGTGGCCAAATAGGTATATACAATATAGTAGATAGGAGAAAGATTAAAAGACTGGCAAAAATTTAAACTGTCAAAACCTCTCTCCCTGTTAAGCTCGCTAGACAGACATAGGAGGAAAGTTCAAAAGTAAAACTCAAAGTACGTGAACCATCAAAGCAACATGCTAACTATTAGTGAAAAATAAAGTGCCCAGTGATAAAACAAAAAAGCAAGAATGCCCAACACACTTTTCGGTGCAGAACTACATGCACCTTCGTCAGGGCAAAACAATACAATGGCAGTGATTTCTCTTATATGCCAGTATCCTACGTGGGAGCTCTGGGTATCAGCCAATAGTCAGGCTGTACCTTAATGAGAGGGTGTGTGTATATGGCATATGTGAGCAACGCCCTATTAGTAATGTTAAAAGTATATTACGATCGGGGCATATGTCAAGTCATTCTTCTTACCCCGTACAGATATACCTCCGCACAGATGCCAATGCTTCCCTGTCTCCCCGCCGCGTGACCCATGGCAGCAAAGTGCAAACATGAAAAGTAAACGATTACCGTGCTTGCAATGAAACATGTGCTTAGCGACCCAACAAGCCCACATCCATCACAACCACAGTGGTCCATTCATTATTCCTGTGTGATCCGGAGTGGATCTGGGTCAGCTGAAATTAGGATCCACAGAGTAAGAGGAATAAGTGTCCGCATGAGTGTACTCGAAGTGTGGGCAAAGTAGTCATCCATATTACCAACCACTGTCTATCAATAGCACTGATTATCACCCTAGCAACCCTGGGTACACAAGCACATTCAGATCTCCTAATGTGACCTCCATATATCAGACATGGGTACATAAAGTATCTATATGTCTCCGCACTCGGGGCAGCAAAATATGAGCAGGAAAAGTAAACTATTACCGAGCTTGAAAAATGAGTACTTAGCGACCGCACAAACCAACATCCATCACAATCAGTGGTCCATAGTTATTCCTGTGTGATCCAGAGTGGATCTGGGTCGGCTGGAATTAGGATCCACAGAGTGAGGGGAGTAAGTGTCCGCATGAATGTACTCGAAGTATGGGCAAAATAGTTATCCATATTACCAACCAGCGTATCAGTAACACTGATTATCACCCTAGCAACCATGGATACACAAGCACATTCAGATCTCCTAATGTGACACATGTATCAGACTTAGGTGCAGAAAGTATCTGTATGTTGCCAGGGATGATTAATATCTGATCTTAATAAATATTTACATGTATATGTGTCATAGGCACATAGGTATTAATATCTGATCACACTAAGTGTTTACATGTATATGTACATACACTCATGTTGATGAATGTGTCATATTGTCAATACTAATGTATGTATCTTAAGGGGAATCCTGGATGAGTAATAATATTACATCCTTGATTACATACCCATATAAATATAGTGAAATTAAAAAATAAATAAAAATGGAAGCAAACATTACTATTTACAATATTTACAGCGTAATAGGATGGTACTGTTAAGACCATTTAATCTGAGATAAATGATGTATATGAGAAACCTTCATTGAGGCCCATTGGTGACAGTGTTTTCAGTTTATATATCCAAAGGCTCTCTCTTTGGAGAAGCTTCTTATCAAGGTCACCCTTTCTAGGACCAAGTGACACTTTTTCTATGCCACAGAAGCGAAGTCCATCTGATGAACCGCCATGACAAAGTTTAAGATGCTTTGAAATTGGAGTGTCTACTAGTCTCCTTGGGTTAACTGAATTGACGTGTTCGCTGATCCTGAGCTTGAAGGCACGAATAGTTGTTCCCATGTACAATTTATTACATAAGCAAGTCAGTAGGTATACTAATCCGACTGACTGACAGTTGAAAAGTTTTTAGTGGTGAATTCATGGGTGTTAGTTGAGTCAAAGAATGTCTCAGATGGTCTCCTTATAAATTTATATGCTTTGCACCTGCCACATTGGTAGGTACCTACTGCGGAAGGTTTAAGCCATGTTGATTTGGTAGTATTAAGAAAACTAGGGACCAGGATATCCTTCAGGTTCCTCCCACGTCTCGCTGTCAACGAGACATGCGGATTGATTGCCTTGTGTAGAGGTTTGTCTTGATGCAGTAAGGACCAAAACCTCTCCAGGATCTTAATAATTGAATGCCAGCCAGCGTCAAAGTTACCAATGCATCTAATAGAATCCAAAGGGGGTTTGTCTAGCAGATCATCAGTGAGAAGGTCTTTGTGGTCAGTTAGGAGAGCACGTTTATGCGCAGCTTTAAGGCACCTATTTGGATATCCCTTCTTTATGAACTGGGCCCTCAGCGCCATTGTTTTCTGTTTGAATTCATCCAAAGTAGAACAATTGCATCTAAGGCGCAAATATTGTCCCACTGGGATACCTTTCTTGAGGGTGGGGGGATGATAACTATCCCAATTCAGAAGACCGTTGGTAGAAGTGGGTTTCCGAAAGAGTGTGGTTAATAGGTGTCCCCCAGTGTCAATTGTAATTGTGATGTCTAGGAAATTGATCCTTTTCCCACCTATTTCAGAGGTGAATCTTAAATTGAAGTTGTTATGGTTAAGTGTCCACAAATTCATTAAATAAAGCCATGGTGTCCGTCCAGACTATCAGGATATCGTCAATATATCTTTTCCAAAGCATTATGTGTTGAGTATATCCCTCAAGTCTGGTATCGAACACCGCAGTCTGTTCCCACCAACCCAGCTGGAGGTTGGCATATGAGGGGGCATAAGCCGTTCCCATAGCTGTCCCTCTCACCTGGTGGTAATACTTCCCCTGAAATAGAAAGTAATTATGCATGAAAATGAAACGCATCAATTCCTGTACAAACACATTATGCCTTGCAAACGCTGCTGAACGTGTGTCTAGAGAGACTGTCAAGTGATCCAGACTCATGGTATGTGGGCAGGGCAAGATTAAGAGCCCAGTGGGCCTGGTGCTGACAATTATGACGGGCCTAATTACAGAATCATATCGACCAAAAACAGTAAAACACATGTGTCTGATGGAGATGGTGCTGGAGAGAAAGAAAACAGCAGCTATAAGAAAACACATACCCTAGGCTAATCTCTCTCTAATTTGTTTTCATCTTTTAAGTAAATCCATTACCCCTAACAGCAGTGTCCAGTCAAGCAGGAAGCCAATGGGCATGGTAAAAGGGTGTGTCACTGACACAAATCACGTAACCTGCCAAAAGGGGCAAACATGCCCAAAAAGAGGACATGTCTGCTCAAAGAATTAGGCCAGCCTGGCATGAATGCATGTCAGGCTGCCTACCAGTCATTCAGGCTGGCCAACTAAGAGCATACTATGCAGACAGCACCCTGAGCTTGTCATAAATGCATCTAATGATGCGCTCACTCAACGCTTTCTAAGGACTGTCCCCTAGCACTCGCTGGTCCACTTGTCTCCTTACCATCTTACTAGCAGGCAGAAGCTCCTGGTATATGGTCTGGGACAGAGAAAATCTGTAGGTAGTGAGTGTAGAAGAAAGGGAACATGCCACAGTGTTAGAGAGACCAAAGTGAGCATTACCTTAAAGGATCACAATAGGATCAGGAACACAAACATGAATTCATGACCCTATAGTGTTAACACCATCATCTAGCCCCCCTGGGCCCCTCATGCCTCCATAAATATAGCAAAATCCTACTATATTCAAGCCTGAAGCTGTAACTCTGCATGCTGTTAAACTCATAAAAACAAGCAGTCTGCTGACATCATTAGAAGTGGTGGCCTGATCCAATCACAGTGCTTCCCCATAGGATTGGCTGAGACTGACAAAGAGGCAGAACAGGGTCAGAGCCAGCATGATTCAAACACAGCCCTGGCAATCAGCACCTCCTTATATAGATGAATTTAATTAATGAATCTCTATGAGGAAAGTTCAGTGTCTGCATGCAGAGGGAGGAGACACTGAAAGTTTGGATGCATTTTAGGCAGCCATGACCCAGGAAGGATCTCTAACAGTCATCTAAGGAGTGGCCAGTGAAGTTATCCCTAGGATGTAATGTAAACACAGCATTTTCTCTGAAAAGACTGTGCTTACAGCAAAAAGCCTGATGGTAATGATTCTACTCACCAGAATAAATTCAATAAGCTGTAGTTGTTCTGGTGACTCTAGTGTCCCTTTAACTATATTCATTGTCAGCCAGTCCACACAAGTTTTGTTCCCATACATCCCTCTTAAGTTTACATACTTAAGTAAGAGTATGTGAAAAGTAGTTAGGGTTGCCACCTTTCTTGGAAAAACATACCGGCCTTACTAATTTGCATAATTAAATATGTGTGGGTGACATCACATGATGTAAATCACAAGGAGTGACATAAGAGAAAATGCTGTAAAATCACCAAAAAACTACTTAGTTTAAATCTGCTGTATAGATGGATTCCTCTCAGTGTCCCCATGTCTCCCAGTGCCCCCATGTGTCGATTACTCCAGGTCTCAGTGTTCCTATGTATCCGTGTCTCAGTGCCCCATGTCTCCCAGTGTCCTCTAGTGTCGTGTCCCCAGGTCTCCCAGTGAACCTATGTATCAGTGTCTCAATGCCCCATGTCTCCCTGTGTCCCCATGTATCCCAGGGTCTCCATGCCACTAGGATACTAGGAAGACGGGGAGACCTTTGGACACGGGGAGACCTAGGGACACGGAGACACCAGTGACACTGGGAGACTAGGGGACTCTGGCTGGGACACATGGGGACAATGGGAAAATAGGGGACACTTGAAGACATGGGGACACAGACACCAGTGACAAAGATACTAGAGACACTGGCTGGGGGACATGGGGACATGGGGGCACTGGGAGATATGGGGACACTGAGACACCAGGGCCACAGACACTAGCTTGGGGACATTGTGACACTTGAGGCACTGAGAGACATGGAGGCACTAGGAGACATGGGGACAGTGAGACACTGGCAGACTGGGGGCACTGGGAGACTAGGGGTCACTGGGAGACTAGGGGGCACTGAGACACCAGGGACACTGGCTGGGAGACATGGGGACACTGTGTCCCCATGTGTCTGTGCCATAATATCTCCCAATGTCCCTTAGTGTCTCAGTGTCTGCCATAATGTCTCCCAATGTCCCTTAGTGTCTCAGTGTATGTCTACTTGCAGCCTTTTCCCCCATCCCTTACTTCCCTGAGCTGTAGGCTGTCTCTGCAGAGTGGGAGTTGCTGTCTGGACTCTCTGTAGCTGCACCCCTGCAGATCAGTGAGTATAGATAGGCAGGGAGGGATATGCTGGAACTTCCTATCCCTGCCCATCTCCACATACAGCGACCCCTACTGGCCAGTGCTGGTATTGCAGAGTAATCTCCATTTATACTGAGAAAAATACCAGCATTTATATTGCCAGTATCACTGCAATATTGGCACCAGCCAGGTAGCCTCAAATACTGGCTGTGCCAATAAAATAAAAGCCAGGTGGAATCCCTAAGAGTAGTGTGTGAGAAAAAAAAAATCTGTAAAAAAAAAAAAAAATCAATTTTTTAAATCAATGGGCCTGGGCCTGGGCCTGGAGCTGCAGCTCCATCAGCCCCTATGTTAATCCGGCCCTGTATGTGGGATGGAATTGTAGAGACCCTCTACATGAAGGCTACATAAAATTGCATTGTTGGGAATTTTTATACCATCTAGAACATTCAATGTTTGTTTGGTGTCTCTAAGATACGATGGGAGTTTCGTAACAATCTCTCTCAGGATCAATTGGTCTACCAGTTAGTGTAGGTGTTTTTTTTATGCAGTGATGAGACAAGAGCCTCTTCCAGGATCTATTTTAATTCACGTAGGTATTTCCTAGTGGGGTCTCCACTTAGTACTTCGTATGTATTACTGTCTTCAATAAGCCGTATAGCCATCACTACATAATCAGTCCTACTCATCATGACAACATTGCCCCCTTTATAAGTAGGTTTGATAATTATGTTATCCATCTCTTTTAGCTGTTTAAGAGACGTTTGTTCTCTAGGGGTCATGTTGTCAAATGCTTGGATTGGCAGAAGCTTTTTATAGATTTTTTTTTTCAATTTCGCTACATGTCAATTCCACAAACAGATCTATGTATTTAAATTCTGCGAGGTGTGGAGTGAATTCACATAAGTTGTATGTATGGGAGATGGGGGTTTTCAGGGAGATCGTTACTAGTAAGGAGTTCAACCGGAGTGTCCAGCAAGTCAATATCAGAGGACTGCAAACCCAAGGTCTTGGCTCTTTTTTCCTCTCTAATACGATGGAACTTATGGAAGGCAAGTTTCCTTGTGTCCTTTGTCCAGCTGAACTTGTCAAAGTCAGGTACTGGAACGAAGGACAGACCCCTCTGCAAGACCTGTATTTCAGATACTGTAAGGGTATGGGAGGTGAGATTAATGACTTGGTTATGATTACTGTCTAGTATCTACTCCATCTGTGTTTTTGTGGTCTTGATTGGCTCCGTGTACGGGAGGGCACACTGTCCTCCATATTCGGATAGCCTAAAAAAGAGACTCCCCTTTTAAGTGTACTTCTGGTATTTTGTTCAAAGGGGACCGACGTTCCCTCCCTATTTTAGTCTGATTCTGAGCCACTCGTCTCATATTCAGAGGTGGAGAGCGGTTCCGAAAAACTTTTCCTAACTCTATTCCTTTTGTAGACGTTGCCATTTTTAAAGTCTTTGCAGTCTCTGATAAATTTTGATAATTTTCGTGTCTTAATGCCATGCTGGAACGTATCTAAATTATTGTTTAGTTTCGTTTCTAAAGCTTCAAAGTTGAATCATACTTGAATTTTTCTATCTGGTTGATCTGCTCATCAACTTCTTTATTTACTTTTTCTAGTCTTTTGGTTTCAAATTTACAGGGAATCTCCATCAATCTTTTTGAACAATTCCCCGCTGCCTCTTCCCACTCTCTCATGTGGCTGGGATATTCTGGACCCTAAGGCCTCTAGGTATTAACTCTTTTTTTAAGGCAATTTGCCAATGAAGCTGTGACGGAACGCTGGCACTCTGACTGAGTACCTCCGCCAATCGATGCTCCTAGTGCTCGCTGAGGACTCCAAGCACTCCAACCGACACCATCAGCACTGCAGACCCCACTTCCAGCGATGCAACTGCGCCGGGGTCTCTGCTGTCTCCACCCACCCTGGACTCAAGGCCAGGATCCAGCTTCCAGTGGGTGAACCTCTCTTTCCCCAGAGAGCAGGAACAGGAACAAATCAAGCTATTGCAAGAGCTTCCTCTGGGGAGTAAGTGATTATAGCAATCCCCAGAGTGTAGGTATCCCTTCCCCCAAACATGAGCCAAGGCTTAATGCTGGAACAAGACTGATTTACTGGCACACAGAACTCACAATTTATGCAACACAAAACTCCTCCTCTGGGCCAGGCTAGATAATTGAGTTTCTACAATACACAAAGCTCAATTATCTGCTGGCCAGAAACATTACAATTTTTACAGCATTCATAACTTCTAAAATATACATCACAGGGACCCCAAAACATGCAATAACCCCATAAAAAGTATATCCTTGGAACCGGATAGTCCAAAACCACTGCACGATGTCTCTGTGCACCAAATACTGGCAAGATGGCACCATGTTGAAAAGTCCAAACAGTGTCTGTGAGTTAAAATGGCTGCCATCCATTGTTCTCACCATGTGCTTCTGATACAGGAAATGGTGGCCACCCAGTAACTCCACAGTATGTCCCCAGATGGTTCTTAAAGGGCCAGCAGCAGCACAACACAAATCCATTATGCCCAAATCATGTCTTTAAAGGGCAATACATCCCAGGGGCCATAGTCACAGGGCAAGAGGCGGGCAAGCAGTCCTCTCCAGGCACAAGTGGCGAAGGGCACTTCGTCACAGAAGCTATCTCCCACCTGGTTTTAATTTGTTGCCGAAAAAGATTAGTTAGGTGATAAAATGCTGCGGAAATGTCTGCATTGGAAGAGATGCCACTGAACTCTTGGTCTGAGAATACTAGATCTGTGTCACTACACCAGATCTCTCTTAGATTTATCAAATAGTAAGCTAGCCATAATTATCGCTGTTTGGTGCTGAAGGTATTGAAACCCCCCAAAAAAGAAGTATAGAGATGGGAATGAAATGTGCCCAAGTGTTCCCAATGCTCCTAGGCACCAAAGAGAGACTCCAGGGGTCTCTCAGGGCATAACCCTAGATAATCAAGAAAGACAAAACAGAGCATGTAGGTTCACCACAAGGGAACCTACAATGCTTCCTGGAAATATAGATAGTAGTATTGCTGAATATAAATATAAAGTAATTAACCTGTAGAGAAGTGTGCACTGAGATTCTGCAATACAGTATTAAAAGAAAAAATAAATAAAATACAATACAAAAACCACCTTGTACGGTAAGCCTCCTATCTCGAAAATAAGTATTGTACACAGTCTCACAAGGCTGGTATCAAAATAAAAAGGAGCTTTATCCCTTTAAGGGGATCAGTAACATTAAAGGAACTTTTCCAAACCATAACCATTACTGTGTTATTAAGTCAGGAGTGCCCTGGCACCCCCCAATGTTATAAGTAAAAACATTTGCTAACAGTTTGACAGCGCCGAAATCCAGTCATCTCCTCCATGAGAGCCAGAAACTCTCTGCATTGAGCTGGTGCTGCCCAGCAAAACTTAGTTCAGGGAGCTAACAGAAGCTCTCAGCATGGGTTTCTGGGTCTCTCCATGGAGGAAGAAACTGGCATCTAACAGGCCCTAGGTAAGTTGTCAAAACATTTAACTGCTTACATTGGAGGTGCCGGTTCATGGTCTGTTATATATATTGGAAGGCTTGGCCTGTAGTTGTGGGAGGGGCGTATGGACCTTCATAAAGGACTCCCCCCTTCCCTACCATAAACGATTGGTCCAACGAGCTGCTAGGCGGAACAGACTTTCACTTCTGGGTTTACAGCGTGGGTTCCTGATCACGGTTTTCACTCCGCCGGACAACCTTCTTCCAGTCCTCATCTCCCGCTTAGCTGATCCATGAAATGGTCGGTTGCCGTTCCAAACTGGGAGCTCACAGCCAGGATTACTTCCGGTTTGCGTCACAGCAGCTGGTGGTCGCCGACCGGTACCTCAACGCAGGTACCCCTCCTCTGTCTATTCTGGCCTCAGTTCGTGCAAATGAACACGTGGCGGCGGCCATCTTTGTTCATTCGAACGAGGTCAGCGGTATGTGTAGCCAAATTCATGGAACTGAAATCGGCTACACATTTCAACGAACACCGCTGACCCTTACCTTCTCCTACACTCAGTTTTCAGCTACAGAGACTAAGTCCTGTTCTGCGATTCGAATGCACGTTCAAATGGGACTTAGTCATTTTTCTGCCTGAAATAGACCGACCGCAAAGCCCAAATCTATGGAACTGTTTTGGGCAGGAAAATGTGCTTGCGGTCGGTCATAAAGGACTTCCGTCTAACTTTTTATCTACTGGAGGGATTTGTATGATTTTTGGCTATGTTTATATTTAAAGTATGCTGATTCTGAATATGTAAATTTATGAGGATTGTATGTATATTTTTAAAGTTACAGTGTATGTATAAAAATTTTATTTTTCCTGCCTGTGATAATTACTTTAACCCATTGTGTTCAGTAATTATATCCCAGGCAGAGGAGAGCATTTGTGTGTTATTGATGGATGTGTTTTTACTGTATGTTACGTGTTTATTGGTTGTTCTGCAAAACCCTGTGGGCGGTCCTGTATGTGTAAGACCTCCATAAAAAAAGGCCCTTTGGTGCCAATTAAACAGAACTACTTGACCCTCTAACTTGCAGCCTCCACTCATGTTTGTAGGGGACAGCTATAATCACTACAGGGATTGCTATACTCTTCATACTCCCTTAGCTACTGAGCTCTTGTAAGAGCTCTTGTTCCTGATCCTGCTTCGCTCTACAGAAGGAAGAGGTTCACCTAAGGGAACCTGGAGCCTGGTCGTAGGTCCAGGGTGGATTGCAGACGGCGAGATCCCAGCCCAGCAGCGGCGGTTCTTATAGTGCTTATAGTGTCTACGGTGCTGATGGTCCTTTGGTGAGCGCTAGGAGCATCCTTTCTACGGTCCAACTTCCAGCCAGCCTGGAGGCAACTGTAACATATGCTGACTGTTATTTACATCAATTATTTAGGTAAATGAGAAAAATATAATTTGCATAATAATTTGGAGCAGGGTGTATGTATAATATTGCATTAAAAAAGAATGAGCCGAGCAGACACACTTCATGAGAGCTCCTGGCAATCAACGCTATTTTCACCCTATTTGGGACACAAAATCCCTCCATACCTGCTCCAGCGGTGCCTCCTGATACTCGGGCATCGTGATGGGACGGAAAAACAAAAAAAATTAAAGCCTTACAAGCCACTTCTGGGCCTGCACATCAGCGACCTCCTGCACCAGGCTAGCAGCATGGTTAGGCCCAAGATGGCCGACTACCCAGAGAACTTCTTTGGAGGTGTCTGACGTGGTTTACTGACCACTATGATGTAAGAAGCCTAGCCACTACACCCTTCAACCTCAACACATCCTCCCGCCTTATATGTCGGTTACACAAGTAGTTTCCACATAAACACGCAAATGTATAGGCAGCTAATATTGGTGAAAGGATGTTTTTTTCTACCAAAATGTACAATATGAATACGGTAGACCTACATGTGACCTAGCCACTTAAAACTGTGTGCAGTAATTTTCTAAGCCCTGTACTTGTTAAAATGTGTATATTGCCATCCTTGCTATTGCTGTTGAGGCATTGCAAGAAAGTCTGTTAATTCTTTGCACCACAAAAATAAAGAATTTAAACAAAAAATGAATGGGCCAGTTACAACTTGTAGTGTATATTTTCATTTACAAGTTTAACCATAAAAAAACAGGCTTTATCTTATTACTCAAAGTGATCTCTGAGAAAGGTTAGCTCATATACTTTAACATTATTAACCTGTACTCCGCAAGGAGGGATAACAAGCGGCTACACTAAGATAAGAAATCAAAATATATGTTTACTTTTTCATTTTCCTAAGAATGCCTGACATGTTTGTGATTAATATTAAGTGATAGCTTTCATTTTATAGATTCACATATTGTATTGGGATGAATTTAATTTTGCCTAAAGGAATAATTGATTATTGGTGTCTGTGAAATAATGAAAATCCTGTAAAGGAAGACTTGATGTATTTGACAATGGTTGTGCTCTTACTTGGCTAGAACAGTACGTCTTACAGCTAGGTGTCCTTTAGAGAGCTGAAGACTTCAATAAATCAATGAAAAGGCCTTACTATTGGGAGATAAAGCTTTCTAGATTTTTTTTTTTACCGTATTTTGGATTCATAGAATACATTTCTTTCTAGTCCAATTTCTGAAAATCTTACATCTACCGAGTACTTACTCATCTTCTGAATCTCACAGCATTCTTCCTGGAGTGTTTGCTTTACTTACACAATGCTCTCTCTTGAGGTAATGCTATGTTCTTTTTCCAGATCTTGTTCCTTTATCCTCCAGGACACTCACTTCTGAGCTCTTGCGCATGCTCAACAGTGCAACACTGAGTTCTATGGACAAGATCTTGGGCTGCTCCAAAGATCAATTTGCTAGCAACAGTTGTGGGAATTGACAAAATTTGATGGTGGAAGCTCCTTTTGTTAAGTTAGACTTTGCCCATAAAACAATGTAGTCCTTACTTTGTCTTTTGATACCTTACAATGACATTCTAATTTAGTGAACATGTGCATTTCATGTTGAAATGCTCCTAAAGATGTTACATAGCCTCTTTACGTTTGTTATCCAATCTTGGTGAGTTTAAAAAAACAAACCTTAAAAATGGCACAGAAGTCCTCTTAAAGGGATACTGTAGTGCCAGGAATGCAAAGCTATATTCCTGGCACTACCAATCCCTCGCCCCCCCTCACCTTCCTTGTCTCCCCCCCCCCAGTTAATAAAGGGTTAAAAATCCTTTATTTACTTACCTTATCCCAATGCCGATGTCCCTCGGTGCTGCATTGGATCTCCACCACCTCCTCTATCCTGCGACGAGCGGGTCTAATGCACATGCGCGGCAAATCTGATGCTGGAGGTCCTCATGCAGAGCGTGAAGACTTCCAGCGTCAGATTACGGACCAAAAGTCTGTTACAATTCCGGAAGCGCCTGCAGTAGCTGTGTGGTAGACAACCACTGAGGGCAGACTTAGAGCTGCAATGTAAACATTGCAGTTTTTCTGGAACTGCAATGTTTGACATTCCAGCACTAGGTGCAAAAGGGTCACAGCACCCAGACCACCTCGGCGAGCTGAAGTGGTCTGGGTGCCTACAGTGTCCCTTTAATAAATTTTGTCCAAATGAAAGGCTCTGTGACTTCATCCTCAGTCATTCTCAATACATCATGACTCATAGGATTGCTTATCATAGAAAACCAGACATATATAATTTTTTTATTTTTTTTGTCAATCATTTTTTATTGAGGTGACTGCATTTTACAACGGTAAACAGTGCCAGTATGCAGTCAGCATATTATTTGCGAGTTATACACATTAAATATCATAGTCTGGTAGATAAAAACATCTTGTTTTGTAAAAATAAGTATAAGAGAATCAGTGATTAACTGTAATACGTTGCTTGAGTATCAATAGACATTTAATTTTTATAAACCGTCAGCATACTGGGCACTGAAAGCTGTAGCTGTATGCTACCATTAACGACAATAGAAAGGTTCAGGCAAAAGATCTCTTAATGTCAGCCAAAACCCAGACTCGGGAAGGTGATGCAACAACATTTTATACAGTGCTGAACTCGGCAGATGCCAGTTCAATAGACACCAGAATGCTCCCCTCCCCTGGTTCCCCAGCCCTAGGTGATAACCAGAACCACCATACTGTGTCCACTGACACCGCTCACTGGGGCCCCAGGCAAAGTCCCAAGAGCAGAGTACTTCTCCAGGTGGTGAACGTCGGATAGGGAGAGTACCCCTTTTGGCTCCCCGCCCAGGATGGAAATGAAGGACTACTGGAAGCCAGCTCCTCAAGTCTGTGTCAAAAATGAGTACTAATGTCATCATATGTAAAGAGAAGGCCTCTTCCTGCCTCCATTGTGTCTCCTCTGCTGATAGCTTTGGTGTAGCATGATTAGCAGCCATCTTGGATTGCTCAGGGTAGAGCATGGCTTCAGCCAGCCAAGTGCACAATGATGGTGGTAACAGTAAATATCTGTGCTAGTGGGGACCAGGATAAACCCCCTCCAGTCCAAAGCGGGAGGCCAGGTAAACCCTGTCTGGAAGGTCGATCTCCGCTCCTTTCCAAGGTCTACGCTAGGCCTCAAATCTGAGAATATGGGACTCTTTCTTTTCAGCCAAAAGCGAATAATGACCTTATAAGATGCCCAGGTAGTTCTACCCTCCTTACAGTGTCGATATGAGTCGCTTAAAGAGCTAATTAAGCAATTAAGTCCCAATTAACTGAGGTATAGTGAGGCGCTCACACTGTTTGCGTCCATCTAACATAGAGGTCAGACCCCACCCCGACATAATTTTATACACTACTAATATAGACATACTCTTATATAAACGGCATAAGTAATAGCTTAGTGACCTTGTTGCTTTTAAAGTTATAATACTATGTTAAAATGTAAACTTTGGCCAATGCAGACAATTGTGATGGATATAGAGTTGGTAGGTTAACTTGAATTTGTCACTAATTCCCTTTAAATTCAAGGTTAACATTGGTTGAATTCAGCTTATCTGTGTCATTGCTGCGTTCAAATCTGTCTGTCTCTTCTCGATTTGAATCAACACCTTCATCTTTAATAAGCAGTGAGCTTTTTGTAGTGTTTTATTCTGCCTTTCCTCCTCTGTCCTAACAAAGCAGCAGGTTCACAAACATTAAAAGGCTGATCTTCTAAAGGCTCACACTTTGGGCTGATCTTGATACCGCTGGAAGCAAGAAAGCACAAGTTTCAGAAACCTGCCAGTTAATGAGAGATGCACAGCAGAGGTACTACGGGGCTTTAAACACCTTAAATAAATAGAAAATGCAATGGCAGAGATTGAAAAGATGACATTGAGGCTCATTGCATAGAATACAGGTATAATGTTATCCATAAGTATTTGGACAGCAACACTAAAAGTTTTGGCTCTGTACGTCAGCACTGCAAATGTGATTGAGTGCAGATTGTCACCTTTAATTTATTTCTATTTATATTATACACCTTGGCAATCAGAATAGACGAATATTATGTATACTAAACTTAAAATTATATCTTGCATCCTCCTTTCATAAAAATACTGCAGAATAATTTTCAGGCTGTACTTCTACCCAGCGTGATAAGAGCTACACTTGATGGTAGTTAAAAATACCTTCTAAGTTTAGTCGGTATGATTGAAATTGAGAAGGATGTGGGTTGATCCTGATTGGGATGCGAGTGGTACAAGTTAGGTCATTGCTAAGGTGGTCTTCCCACTACGCTTGGTCCAGGATTAACGGGAATTCCTATTATCACTCCAACCTGGGCTGTAAGTGTTGTAATAAATTCACCTTATTGCGTATCATTGTTGGTATGTTTAGCATCTCTTTTAATGCAGAGGAAATTAGTGTTGAGTGTCTGCGTGTGCTACAATAGCTTTCCTGGTTGTCTACATATTCCTTACATAGCTGTATCTCTCTCGATATCACTAAGTTATGCCTATCCATCACTTCCAATTAATTGTACCCAGTTTCCCCCTTCTTTTGATTTTGGATAATTGCATAGAATAAAGGAAATTGTAGTTTGCCAATACCGGATGCGCAATTTGCTGTTCACTCTTAAAATAGGACATCTCAATGAAGTGGTCTGTATGCAGTTACAATGTCCCCTTAATCCTGTCCTGAAAATTCCCATGGCGATTCAATGATTCAATGTTTTCCTATGGGGAAGGCCTAATGTGTGATTGACATCATGGGAGGAGAAGCCCAATCCAGCACCAAGGGACCTGGACACTGGAATCAAGTAAGTGATAGAAACTGGGTTTTAACCCTTTTCTTGACCGAGGGAGAAGGGCCACACAAGGGACTCTGTAGTGTTAGGAATACAGTTTGGTATTCTAAACACTATAGTGTTATTGTACTGTAAAATGGAACGCAATCTTCTATCAGTATGAAACCTATAATGTAAGATGATGATCCACATGGATTTCCTCTCAATTTCACCTTTCCCCTATCTGTGTAAGGGTATATTTAATAGATTAATAGATTATCCTTGGTTCAGGGTGAGAAGTATATAAGTTACTTTAAATTAAATTCTCATTGGAAAATTTCCGTTTAGTCAACCAATTGAGACACACACTTGAATGCATTAGAAAACCTATTTGGTTTTCTGCATATCATTTGGAGATTTGTCCTGAAAACTTCTGAACAGGACCTCCTGTGTTTACTATCATTATCAATGCTTAGGAAATAAATTGATCCCTTAGTATTTTATTTACCATATATATTTTTTTAATCTTTACGATCTATTTATCATCTTTATCATTTTCGTCAAATATTTTTGATATATCATACAATCTGTTTTAATTTGTCTTAATATTAAAAGTTACATTTTAATTTGAGGGCACTCACTTGTTCTCTTTCTTTATCTTCACTACTGTTATAGTTTACAAAGGGTTATCCCCTTCTAAGAGTGTATCCCTTTTGCTTCCTATTTCCTCTGTTTCTTATAGTTTACTTCTCGTAGGGTTTCAGTACCCATTTCATGGAAGCCTTATAAGAAAAGTTACCAAACTATTAGAATGACGTCATATTTAAGTAACGTTATCAATCCTGATCCAAGCATCACGGACATTAATAATGTATTTTCCCTAGAACCCTTAACTAGACTAAATCCTAATGATATTAATGAAAGTTTCTTTGAGATACAAAATATGTATAAAAAACAAATTAAGGGACATTGGGAAATTATAAGTCTACGCAAATATGTTGAGTCCCTAGAGGACTCAGATCCGACATCCCAAGACCAGAGAAAGTAAAAACCGATATACAAATTAGTAAATGGAACAAGTTACTAATAGATAGCTCAATAAAACTTATGGAATTTCTTATTAAATTAGAAGAGTCACATTTGGAAGGGGTCAACCAGAACCTTGAAACCGAAATCAGTAAAATTAAAGCCTTTCAAACACATCCTGAATTCAAATTAATGGAAACAAAACTAAACAACAATTTGGAAATTTTTAAGAAACACATTAGGGAAAAAAAACATCACAAGTACCAAAGAGATTACAAAGACTTCAAAGAAGGCATGGTCTTTAGACAAAGAAATAAAAATAGGAAAAAATATAACAGTCGGCAGAACTCTACCACATCCGGAGAAACGGATTGGTCTGGTTCTGATTTTAGTCCTCCAAGGAGAACCATTAATACTCCAATTAACATCCAACAAAGAAGAAAAAGCATTCTAAAACCAGTGGATAAAAATGTGTCCTTTCCAGACACACAATTTGGTAATTCTTCTAATACCACTACAAATTCACTGACCTCTGATGTTTCCTCATCTTTAGGAGCATCTTTTTTAGATCAGGAGTGGCCTCAACCCCAGAGAGGCAAACTCCGAGACAGAAAAAGATGGGGGTACAAAATAAACAAGGAAGGTCACAAGAATTAACGAAATATGACACTATAGAGGACAATTTCATCATTAATTTATCCACCTTTAATTTGGAAAATAAACATATATCCCTGCTTAGAAAGGATTTGAATTTTGTCCCTTCTCCTACCATAAATAAATTTGAGTGGGTCAAGGATACTAATCTCTTTGGACGAAAACTTGCCCTCAATATTATTCATAAGAGAAGAGATAACAAACTTGCTAAGAATTGGGGTTAAGCTATGAGGACTACCAATATCTTCAGACTATGGTATCCCTTCTTGATGAACAAGATACTAAACAACCTCTCACGAATTGCAAACCATCAAGCTGGTATACGCCAAATTTTAAAGAAGTATCCAGTGTAGACCTATTTGTTCAGATGACTACGAAGGCCCTTGAGTCATTGCCCTCTTTTGATAAACATCCGGACAATTTAACCAGAGCCGAACGTGAGGCACTCAGAGATCTGAGCAATAATAAAGATCTGATTATCAAACCATCGGATAAAGGAGGAAACATAGTCTTCATGGACCAACAAAACTATGTTAGCATGTGCATGGAACATTTGAAAGACACTAACCAGTATCAAGTTCTTTCAGGAGATCCAACCAAAACATTTCTTTTAGAACTAAAGGGGCTACTAATTCAGGCATTGGAAAAACATATCATTAGTCAAGAAGAGTATAAATTTATGATTCCTAACAACTGTCCTATGATTTCGACCTTTTATTGCCTTCCCAAAATTCACAAGTCTCGTAATAATCCACCTGGGAGACCTATCATCTCTGGCAATAACTCTCTGACTGAAAAAGTCAGTAAATTTCTTGAGAAAATACTCCACCCATTTGTCACCAATTTGGAGTCATATGTCCAGGACACTTAGTAGTACCGCCATATACCCTACTTGCAAGTCTGGATGTGGTCTCTCTATACAACAACATCCCTCATGACAAAGGTTTATGTGCAACATCCTATTTCCTCCACAAATCTTCCAAATACAATTTGGAACAAATGGAAACCATTTTATTTCTCCTTGAATTCGTTGTGACTCATAACTACTTTGTGTTTGACGGAACATATTATTTACAACTATGCGGCACAGCTATGGGTACGGCTTGTGCCCCTAGCTATGCCAACCTATACTTGGGTTGGTGGGAAGCAACCATCCTAAAAGAAGTAACATCCGAACACTATGACCAATACATTCACAAGTGGCTAAGATACATTGACGATATCCTAATATTTTGGACCAGTTCTTGCCCCAAGTTCATAGACATGGTGAATGAACTAAATGTGAATAATATTGGTCTCAAACTTACACACGTGATTCACGAAACCCAATTGGAATTCCTAGATTTAAGAATTTTATTAAATACTGATGGAACTGTGGACACTGAACTATTCAGGAAAAGTACGGCTTCCAATAGCCTTCTGCACAGGCAAAGTTTCCATCCCTATCGTCTCAAAGCAGGCATACCATACGGCCAGTATCTGAGAGCTCGAAGGAACTGCTCAAATGATGAGTCCTTCCAAGCTGAAGCTAAAAGACTCAAAATCCGATTCAAAAATAAAGGCTATCCTAATCGCATTCTAAAGAAAGCATATCAGAAAACCATAGCCCAAGACAGAAGTCTGAGTCTTCAATCCACCAGACCTATGCCTACTAACCAGCTAACAAGATGTATAGGTACTTTTGACCAAAAATGGCAACCCATTAAACAAATTTTCACACAACATTGGCCGATTCTGGAGTATGACAAGGACCTGGATCCTAAACATATTGCATACCCTAACATCACAGCACGAAGGTCTAAAAACCTTCGGGACATGCTAGTTCATAGCCACTTGGAAAGTAAACCATCACCAAGTAGTTGGCTAAGTGCCCCAATTGGCATCCACAAGTGTGGACATTGCTTTGTAAAAATTTCCAAAACAGTCAAATGCCAGAAAACTCAAAAAGAGTACCGAGTTAAACATTTTATTAATTGCAGTACGACACGAATTATTTACGTCATTACTTGCCAATGTGGCATTCAATACATTGGCAAAACCTATCAGGAGTTTAGGAGACGGATTCTCCAACATATTAATTCGGTCAAAAATCTTAATTTAAGTACACCTGTTGCAAATCATGTTCGGAATTTCCATGATGGCAATTCAACCAATTTATCATTCCAAGCCCTAGAAAGGGTTACTTTGAATTCGAGAAAAGGCAACTTTAATTTAATTTTACTACAAAAGGAATCAAGATGGATATATGAATTTCAAACTCTAACGCCAGGGGGCCTCAATTAGGAATTTAACTTTACTCCATTTATTCATTAAAATCATGACATATAATTAAGTTTGTTACCATAGCCTAATTAAATGGCTTTTATTATTTTCTCCAAATATTTTTCCTATATTCAATGTTAAGTTTGGTGGATATTTCCCCTCATTTTTCCATCGGGTGATATATCCATTACCAATATTTTTAGGACACTTTTTACCATAATTCCTCTCAATGACGCTATTATTATATTTACATTTTTTTCTCTTTACACTTTCCTAGACTGTTATAATCTTTAACTGCTAATGCCCTACAGGATCAGCCTAGGCATAATAATCTTGCTGCTCCTCCATCTAGCAAATCAACTTAGGTTCACTAGCTGTCACCTACATCTTCTAACATATGACGTTACCCATGACTGGGTACTGTCTCTCTATAGCAACATATCACATTACAACCTGTATTGAGCGGTGAGAAACATTGCAATACAGATACAATTGTTGCCACTTTTTAGAACGATATACATCCTGTACAATTCTTTCATTATTATGTCGGTCTTGCAACATTATTATCTTTTAAATCATTGGGAATAGCAATTTTTCCCTGTCTTTCTGTTTTGTTTGTTGAATTACACTATCCTCTGATTAGAAAGCACACATTGGGTTCAAATACCAAACTTTTCAATAGTGTCCTTCTGCAAATCGGGCTATGCATTATGTCCGTTTTATTGCTTTCATCAACACACTATCACGTCCCCGTAAATGTGTGTGGCGTGTGTTAATTACCATTATTAATATTGGTATATATCCTTGTGAATTCAAAATCATGTTTCAAGTTATTGACTTTACACATTATCACGTCCCCAGTAAAAGTGGGTGGCGTTCACTAATTGCCATCATTAATATTGGAATATATCTATTTAGAATCATGATTTAAGGTACCGGTATCAATCGGGTACCAACATTAAGTTCTTCTTACAATGAGTAATCTCTTTACATATTTCATGATTCTAGTTACATTATGAAATATCTTGACAGTGGCAATTAACTTGTCATTCCCTCTGGACCTCACTCCCTCTGCGAGATGGTTCTTAAGGGGTTAAAATTTATACACCTTAGTAGTTATGACCCATTTGCGGTTTTCAGTGACGTTACTTACCGGCTCTGTTCTTATTGGTTAACTATGTATGACAATTTTTGAATTAGACCAATCAAATGTACACACTCACCTTTTTATATCGTTTTTTTCCCGCACATCGTTTCCCTTCTAATGAGCTGTGGGCGAAACGCGCGCGTCAGGGGAAAGGGCTCTTTCGATATACACTTACCACAGTATTGTTGTCTGCTCAGACGGGCATCAGACTTTATATACTTTATACTTCGATATTCAGCCCTACTCCAGCTATACAAGTGGGGGGTCTATAGAGCATATGCTCTTGATATATTTTTGCAGTAATCTCTACTCCCACTGTATGAGTTGGTTAGTTAGTGAAGAATAATTTTTCTTATATCACCAAATCTTGTCTAGTGCATGTTTTGGATCCAACAAGCACTATGTATGTAGTAATTTTTATTTAATACTTTATGGACTGTTTATTTCCGTTTAGTCAACCAATTGAGACACACACTTGAATGCATTAGAAAACCTATTTGGTTTTCTGCATATCATTTGGAGATTTGTCCTGAAAACTTCTGAACAGGACCTCCTGTGTTTACTATCGTTATCAATGCTTAGGAAATAAATTGATCCCTTAGTATTTTATTTACCATATATATTTTTTTGATCTTTGCGATCTATTTATCATCTTTATCATTTTCGTCAAATATTTTTGATATATCATACAATCTGTTTTAATTTGTCTTAATATTAAAAGTTACATTTTAATTTGAGGGCACTCACTTGCTCTCTTTCTTTATCTTCACTACTGTTGTAGTTTACAAAGGGTTAACCCCTTCTAAGAGTGTATCCCTTTTGCTTCCTATTTCCTCTGTTTCTTATTGGAAAATAGTAATTACTATAAATCATTGATTGTGGACTGACATATTGCACATCCGTAATTGGTATAATTAAACTGTACATGGAAAATGACATGTTTGAAATGTGTTCCTGCACAGAATTAAACAAATCACTAATGTGTTTTTCAAAAATATTTTCTGTGTTCTCTTCAATTTTCATATGTGTATTATATATGATGCCTGTTATGTATATATTACATATTACATCTTTGCGAGCCATGATCGTAAATATCAAAGGTTTTAACTAGACTTCATATACACTACTTTTTAAAGGGTTGTCCTGAATGTGCCCATGAGACTAATATGAGACAAATAAAACAATTGGAATCCATACACAAAGCAAATATTAAAATAAGTTTGCATGGCTCATAACGCTTTGCGTATTATTCACTAAACAGTGAGTTCTTGTGCATCGACTCTGACTTGCTTTATGAATTCCATATAACAGAACCTGAACTGTATATTTGTGTTTTCCACCGTGGATATCGTGGCCTGGGTTTGGAATTGGGATTGTCCGCTAGCCATAATTCATTTTGCAGTGACCGACACCAAATTGTAAGTTAATAAAATAAAAAGTATGAACCGAAAGTGAACTTATTTCTTGCATTACATAAGTATAAACTATATAAAATAGGGGGAGAACGGAACCTGACCGCCACTCTGACTAGTTGCACTGCAGAGAAGCTCCTGAGCCATTTCAGCTCAATATTGCCACTAAGCTACTTACCTACCTTGCATTGCTAGGCTGTGGGTAAACATTCTGTAGTGTGATGATACACTATCTGCCTCAGATACTTGGGATCTTGAACCCTTAGTGGACTGGGCCCTTACTACCGAGGCCTTCCTAGACAGGTGGGTTTAGATAGTTTCTTCCCTACCTCTCTTCTGTCTGCAGCTAACCAACTCTTCACTATCAACTATACTAGCCCTTGTTCCTCCCCTGTTTGGACCTGTTTCATTCAGCTGACCCCTTCAGCATGCCAGCATACAAGATGGCTGCCAAGGTCTTGTCAGTTTCCCTGCAGACACTGAAAACGCCTGAAATGATGACTGCAACTCTCAGTGCCTTCAGCACCCAGTGTAAACTGTTTTGGGCTCAATTAGGTCTGCCGTCCAGGACTGAGATATCTCCTTATCCTCCCACACACACACATCAATTACAGGGCCTGTTATGGGGTCTCCTCGAGTAGTCTCTTGCTGTATTGCTGACTCAGACCTTTAAGAAGGCACTGGAGAACAGACAGGCATGTGGTTAACCAGGAAGAAAAGGTTCAAATCAAGATCTTTAATTCTCTTACAAAAAGAAAAGTCCTGCGTTCACTCCCATCACTCCTGGACGGCAGCAACGACAACGAATACATATAGTAAAAACCAAAGAAAAGAAAAAGTTACCTGTGCTCTCTCCTTAATCCCTATGTATATTTAGACAAATGGAGGTCATTTAATTGCTCCAATGGCCATTGGAGGGAATGCCCACCTGCCAACGTCAAGGCAAACCCCCCCTAGACAGGTCCTACTCTGACCCTTTACATTGCTTCCTTAAGCTTCTGGCACAAATATCTCTGAGACAAAAAGGGGTATTTTTTATATACACCCCTATATACTTGTTAACCCTTAATAGGGAACACATGGGATGGGCGGCATCATTGTAACAAGGCTGTGTGATACAAAAAGTGAATACAAATACAAAAAGAAAAGTCCTGCGCTCACTCCCATCACTCCTGGGCGACAGCAATGACTACAGTACACATCAGCTAATACATATAGTAAAAAAAAAAGAAAAAAAAAAAAGTTACCTGCGCGCTCTCCTTAATCCCTATGTATATTTAAACAAATGGAGGTCATTTAGTTACTCCAATGGCCATTAGAAGGAATACACACCTGCCACATCAAGGCAAGACCCCCTTAGGTTGGTCAAATTCCCACTACTTTTGGGTAGCAGCAACGACCATAGTACACATCAGCCCAATACACACACTAAAAATCAAAGAAAAAAAGTTACCTGTGCTCTTTCCTAAATCCCTATGTAAAAATTTGTTTAAATATGAATAGGGATTTGGGAAAGAGCGCAGGTAACTTTTTTCTTTATTTTTTACGGTATGTATTGGGGCTGATGTGTACTATGGCCGTTTCTGCCGCCCAAGAGTAGTGTGATTTGTTTAAATATACATAGGGATTTGGGAAAGAGCACAGGTAATGATTAATAAGTATGTAGGGGTGTATATAAAAAATACCCCTCTCTGTCTCATTAGAGATATCTTTGCCAGAATCTCAAGGAAGCAAGGTGAATGGTAGCCACCTAAGAGCTTTGCCTTGACGTGGCAGGTGGGCATTCCTTCTAATGGCCATTGGAGTAACTAAATAAGCTTCATTTGTTTAAATATACATAGGGATTTGGGAAAGAGCACAGGTAACTTTTTTTTTTTCTCTGTACTGGAACAGGTTATAAATAAAAAGTTTTTTTTTCCAAAAATACCGTGTTTACTCGAATCTAATGCTCGCCTTTTTTGGAAAATAAAGTTTCCAAAATTTGAATGCCCATTAGATTCGATGGCGCATTACATTTGGGGCAAAATTCGACATTTTCCAGCAAGTTGCATTCTGGTGAATTCAAACACACATATTCAAACGCACGATTTAAAACTGGTGAATTCAAACAGGCGAATTTCATTCTGGCGAATTCCCACAGGCAAATTTTGTTCCTGAAAGAGAGTTTAAGACAGAATAGACTGAACATATAACAGTAAAATTTAAATACTATCAATGTTACTATGGTATATGGCAATAAACATTTTCATAGTATCTTATAGTATAAATGCGTATTACATTCGCCAGCAAAAACATTTTCAGCTTCCAGGTTTCAAAAATTGAGGTGCGCATAAGATTCAATGGTTTATTAGATTCAAGTAAATACTGTGTGTATGTGAATAATAAATATGGCCCTGGCAACATAAACACAAATGAGCATACAGAAAATGTACTGCTCGGAGTGATTATGATTGCACTTCAAACAAGCTTATTTGATAAAAATGAACCAGACTTCAGATTGCATGCATCATAGTATACCATGCCAGAATAGCATACAACAAGCATATTACTAAAATTGGTTACATAGTTGGTACCCACTAGGAAAATTGCAATAATTACTAATAAGGAACACACACTAAATTTAAATTCTAGAGGTGGTAGATAAAATAAAAATGCACCAAAAGTACAAAATGAATGCAGCCTGAAGTGTGATCTATTAACGATAGTTCAGGACTGTATGTCATTCCCAAGATATGATCATCCATTTGATATTGGGAGTATCATATGAGGCAAAAAATAATAATCTGTATCTGCCGTATAAAATCGCAATTAGACACTCTAAGCTGATGTTCACACTCTGAAAAGGAAAAAAAATGTAATTTGTCATTTGCCATTCATTTATGACCTCATTATATGCAAATTAAATACTATCTGTAGTATTATTTAAAGCAACTGAGTGTCTGTAAGTCCTCTCTTGATTTGTTTGGGGAAAAACACCAGAATAAAAAAATGTCTGTCTCTTGGCTCAGTGCAGACCTGTCGTTAGTACAGGGGCATTTTTGTCACTTTAAAGATTTAAAGATGTTTTACTAAAATCAGGCATTTGTATTTTTTAGCAATATTTTATCTTGTAATGCTTATTTTAGAGTTCCCTGTGTTGCGCAAAATGTGTTAAACTGCATGGAAGTCTGCATAATGTATCACCCATGTACAAATAAAAGACACGTCATTTCAACATTATTCCGATAGTCAGTACACTTGCGCAAAAATCTGTTTTGTTAGTAAAAAAAAATCAATCCGCATATGGGTAAAACAAATGTTTCCACATTTTTAGTATTTAGTGTGCTGCAATATCTAATGTGAAAACCATCTCTCTTTGTAGTCCTGTGATGTGACCAGGAATACTTCCAACTGATAGACTTTTGTCCAGTATGTATTGAGTCTTGCAGGCTCCTGTGTAGTGTGGCAGAGGAAGGCATTATTTTCAGTCTCTCTGCACAGTAACGGTTAATATCAGCATAGGAGTGAAGGGGAGGGTAATAGAGGTATAATATAATGGCATATTTTATTGGAGTTTCTACACTCAAAATACATCTGGTTCATAGTATAGGAAAAAGGTAAGAGTATAACAGTAAAACATATTTAAGACATTTGCGAGGCAGCATGAGTGACCAGTATTAGGTAGCTATCATTAACAGAACATATATTATATTGTACTGGTAGGCATTATATCTGGGAAGACATGAATTTTCATTTAGTATTGGTTCATCTCAGCTTAGGTAGGGTAGGGGGTTATAGCACAAAACACAGCTGAAAGTAAGGTAGTACATATTGATCAAATGAAAACATATAAAATTAACAGCTTGAGTAACATAGAAAGTATAGGGGTCTTAGTTCCGAGGCCCTCTGTGTTATGACTTGTGACTAAGCTATGCACGGTGGCAGTTCATGATCCTGACTGTGATCTAATAGGGTGAACTGTGAATCTCCGCGGTGTGCTGGTCCGTATCTTCTGGGCTTTCACTGGAGCTCCTCATAAACCCGTCTTCTCTGTTGCTATGTCAACCACTCCCCAAATGCCATTCATTTTAAGTGCAAGGCCAAAATGAAATTGAATGTACATGAGGTTAGGAAAGAAAGGGTTAAACTGTGTGATGTATGGCTGTAAAATAATTTTCATTTGGCTCTAATATATATATTTTGCACAAGCCTCACTCATCCAGATACAGGGACAGCATTTTGTTGCTCAAACACATCTCTTAGCTTGGATTCAAAGGTGTGATTATTCTCATGTCTGTGATGCTATACAATCCCGAGTTCATTATTTGAATGCTTGATAACTGGTTTCAAGCTGAGCCTTTTAAGATCCTACACAAAGCCGCCATGCATTATGTTATGTTTGATTTCCGTTTCTGTGTTTCTACTGTTGAAATAGATTTTACTTGATTTGCATTGAAAATATAAAAAGACAGATGTAAAATCATCAAACAAATCTGTTTTTGGTTTAAAGTAATAAATACTGATGTAAAATATCTATACCCTGCTCTTTTAGGTAAAAACAAATATAGAAGGTAAAAAAGTAAATGTCTTGTGACAAATTCCCTATTGCACTAATTCTCTTTCCCCATTCGAGAACTCACAGTGCCATTTTGCTAACATTGCTAGTGATGGAAGACTTGCAGGCGAATGACTTGAGTGTATATAGTTCAATATGCCACTACCAAGGCTTGCAGAAGCAGGGCAGATGTGTGATGATCTCAGGACAGTGTTACATTGTAAATCCGTGTTCTACCTTATTGCAACATAGGGTTACAAGAGAAAAATGGAGCAGCAATGCTAGTTATTGTATAGCACATGTGTAATGTGTTCAGTTACTCTTGGTCTCAGAATCCTCAGTTAGCTGCCAGGCTGTCTGATGGGTTTATAAAATGTACCTAGCAAGCCATTGTAAGATGCATAGCCAGCGCAGTGGGAGGTGGGACTGAGTCTACAGTGTTACATCCTGCCTATTGTAATCGTAAAGTAAGATGGTCAAAGAGATCCATGGTGTTGCAAGAGCTGGCTCTGACCATTTCCCCACTATAACTACTGTACCTGCTTACTCTCTGTATTATGCAAACAAGTGTGTCATGCCTGTAAATGTAGAAAAAGCTGTGTGCTCAAACAATAAAGCAGTTCATTGGAGTTCACTTTTCCATCAAGAAAAAATTTCCTGGTATTTTTCTGTGTTGTAACTATCTACAGTCTGTTACAGTGCGATCTCTCAGGACAATCGCTAGCAGTTTTTAGTTAGAATATCCTGTAATCCCCGAGGCAACTTTACAGTGTATCCTGCTTTTCCGGGGGATTAGTGACTTAAGTACCTAGCTCTCAGGGTAGAAGTTCGGCTGGCGAGCTAGCGGAAGTTCCCGCATATGATGCAGGGTCCGAACTTTTACGTCTTCGGTAACAGAGACGCCAGGACCGTATAGCTTCCAACTGAATTGCCAGCTAGGAGAGACGCTGCGTTTGCTAGTGGGAAAAGTACAGGCTAATGCAAAGAATCCCATGGGCAATACTAGTCCTCAACTGGTCCACCTTCAGGACCAGAGACACCAGGGCCATGTCTTCACAGGCTTTGATGGGAAAAACAAAATCAATACAGACCAGCCAAGTTTGAAAGATCTGAAACAAGAAAAGTAGGAAGCTGGGTGCGCTATTGACACGTCATCTTTCACTTCTCTTGGGCGATGTCATCCTTGTCAGTATGACAGTCTATTCTTCATGGTGACCATATAAGGCTGCCAATACACCCGTTTTATTATTTTATTATTTCTCATTCACACATTCAGTTGTGATGCTGAAAGTTCTGCTATGGGCTGAAATGCCCGGTATTTCACGAACTTATGAACTTGTTCAAATATGTACAACAATTCACCCGGTAATAATAATAATAATGTGCGAGCACTATGCTACCAGTTACCCTGGTGTCCCCAATCCTGGAATAACTTGGTTGGGATGGTTGGACAGGACCCCGAAATCAGGACTGTTCCTCCATTATTGGAGACTGTTGATGGTGGGGACCTGCTTTTTTAATTTGGAACAAGAAACAAAATAAAGAATGGAGTGTGCAAAGAATCGTAAAATAAGAAGAAAAATTAATAAAAAGAGGAGGTAAACACTATGTGAGGTACACCAAGAAGGTTGGCAAGACAAATTGAAATGGTGATTTAACCCTTATAATTATCTTAGAAAACACATTTCTTCTGTTAGGAGGACATAGTGGCACAGTCTGTGGCTGTTAAATTATTCATCAATTGGTTGTTGTTAAATTTAAATACTACTGTTTGCAATGAAGGCACTGCATTATTGAGCCAGCTAGGAGCAAGTACCATTCGATGAGAATTATTTTGTTGAAACACATATTTAGTCCGTGAGAGTGAAAAAGCCCATGGACCACTTTTGGGTAAGTCAAATACATGTATTCCTCATCCCATTAAATCTCCAACAAAGATCTCTTGTATATTGTCCATGCACAATCTCACTGTTTATCATCAATAATTTTGTATATTTATTCCTGTAGCGCAACCTATATGGAAACCTTAGAATCTGCCATCAGATGTCCTCTTGCACATCTCCCTAGTGAAGTTTCCACTAGTGCATATACATCAATGGGAGGTGCAGCCGATAAGGGTGTAGGTAGTGGTAATGAATCCCTATTTAAAAAGTGCTTTGAGTACCCTGGCTCTCAAAGCAGGTGATCTCTGGTTGGTTAGCAAAGCCTCTAACCTGTGAAATAATTACTTTATGACTTATTGTAGTAGTTCTAGTACAAGGGATCTTTAGGTGTACCATGCTGTGTTGTTTACCAAAAGCAATTTATCAAGCACTCAGCATCGCCTAACACCAAAGCTTGGGTCTCTGTAGTCTATCGGATATTGTGGTGATACATGTCCACATTATCCTCCCAAAGCCATCTATGCGTAGACATCAGTGATAGGCTTCAAGTACTGGGCTCACAGTCTTTGATTGCTGTACAAGTCTCTGCATTATCATGTCAGCAAGATTGGAGCTGGGCTGTGGGTGATGAGAGAGCCTCTGTTTTTGTCAACCTGTTCAAAAGCAATTAAATAAATTAAGTAAATGCCTTGTGACAAATTCCCTATTGCACTAATTCTCTTTCCCCATTCGAGAACTCACAGTGCCATTTTGCTAACATTGCTAGTGATGGAAGGCTTGCAGTCGAATGACTTGAGTGTATATAGTTCAAAATGGGAGAGCCTCTGTTTTTGTCAACCTGTTCAAAAGCAATTTGAATATTATTTATATTTACAGGGTTTGGTTCTGTTCATTCAAAGCTGGACAGAACTGGCATAGACTCAATTCATTTGTACAAATATTCTGATTTTAACAGATGTTCCATCCGAGGTATTGGAGACGTGCAAAATCTTCAGCATTTCCAGCATTAAAACGGTATTTTGTATCTCAAAAGGAAAAACCTGTGCTGACTCTCTTCACTAAGGTAATTCTATGAACTCACACAGTATTCATTCATTTTAGATAGGTTTTTATAATTGATATAAAGATCTGATAATTCTACAAAACATATCTGTTATATTAGTTTCAAACATATTATTCATGTTCACATGGACAGCATTAAAGTTTCAATTCAACAATTAGATATCCATGTTTTTTGAATGTATGGAATAACACCACTTATTCACAGGTATAGAATTGATAGGACACATTACATCCGAATAGTCAGAATAAATCTCTTTTATACAAAATGCATATTTTTTCTGTTTTGCTATAATTGTATATCTGAATTATCTACTACATATCATTATTGTTTTAAAAAAAAAAAATCTTTATGTAATTCTTACAGTTAATAACTAATTTGTTGCCTTAAGCACGAATTTAGAGTCAGAGTTACAAACTATTCAAGATATGCCAACAAATAAAAGAGTTTGAAAATGACACTCCAGGCACCAACATATTTGGAGTGACATATAGGTTCGTTTATAGTTGGGTGGGTTTTTAGAGTGTTTTAATGTCTTTATTTTTTATTTTTTTAAATAATTGTTTTGCCGCATAAGTTTAAATCCCTTCCTCCCAACGTGCTGTGTTTCCCTAAATTGCTCCAATGAATACTGCTGTTCAGGGTGTAAATAATAATCATAACCTGACAATTGAATTACAGCTCCCAGAGGCTCCTACAATGTCTAGTACACAATCCTGTGTAGGAATGTCTGAGATGAGCACTACTCTGCTGACATTATTATTATTATTGCCATTTATATTGCGCCAACAGATTCCGTAGCGCTTTACAATATTATGAGAGGGGGGATTTAAAGGGACACTATAGTCACCTGAACAACTTCAGCTTAATGAGGTTGTTCAGGTGAGAACTATAGCTCCCTGCAGCCTTTCTCATGTAAACACTGTATTTTCTGAGAACTATACAGTGTTTACATTGAACTCTAGGAACACCTCCAGTTGCAGTCACTCAGAGTGAACCAGAGGGACTTTGGAGTTGATGGAGGCATAATATGCCTCCATCCACTCAGATCTGCTGTCAGCAGAGCACATTAGGGCAGAGCACAGTCCTAATGTGTTTTATACCCCAGTCTATAGGAGGCGGAGCTGGGGTATAAAACACATTAGGACTGTTAGACTAACTGTCACTTCTTCACTTTTAGCACAAACAAATAACTAAAAGCTGTGTTAAAAAATATATTCATTTTCTATCATATTGTAACTATTTTTCTGGCAAGACTTGGCACAGTATGTAAATTAGTTAACTCTAGCATTGTTTTACACATGGCATATGTGCACATACAGCACTGCGAGATGGAGTATTCAGACTGCGCAACAATGGAAATTTTCTGTTGGATGCCTGAACTGAGCACTCATGGGTGCACCCATGGCATCATTGGGCAACTAAGCCCCACAAACATTAAAGTGGAGAGGAAGTACGATTTATGTTACTTAGTGCTGGTGCTCTATTTATTTAACATTTACTGAGGTATGGGATGATGACCTGTCACTTCTCTTGAAATTATAGTTCCTCTTTAAAAGAATACTGTAGGCATCTAAACAACTTTAGCTTAATGAAGCAGTTTTGATATATAGCAGTCTAACTGCTCAATTCTATGCCATTTAGGAGATAAATCACTTTTGTTTATGTCCATGCAGCCCCAGTCACACCTCCCCTGTCACTCATACAACCTGAATGAAAAACAAAATGGTTTAATTTTTTTAATCAGATGTTACCCTATTTAAAGGATTTGTCATTTCTTTAAGTTGAACTTTAATTACACATTGGAGGCTCCTGGAGGCTCCTGCAAGGTCTAGAAGACTATTAACAGAGCAGAAGATACAAAGTTTGAAATTAAACACACTGTGCAATAAAGGAAGTTTTAAAAATTAGGCCTCTCTTTATGGTTAAAGGGACACTCCCGGCACCCAGACCACTTCTGCCCATTGGAGTGGTCTGGGTGCCAACTCCCACTACCCTTAACCCTGCAAGTGTAATTATTGCAGTTTTCAAAAACTGCAATATTACCTTGCAGGGTTAACTCCTCCTCTAGTGGCTGTATACTAGACAGCCACTAGAGGGCACTTCCGTGTTTATAGCACATGGTACATGTGCTATTGCGTTGCTGGATGTCCTCACGGTATGTGAGGACCTCCAGCGTCGCTGAAATCCCCATAAGAATCCCCATTTTTCGATGCTTTCCTATGGGGAGATCTAATGCGCGTGCGCGGCATTGCCACGATTGTGCACTAGGTCTCACCCTGCCAGTGGCCGCGCATGTTCAGTATGTCTCCCCCTGCCTATATGACGTGGGCGGGGGAGTAGCGTGGGGGGACCCTGACCCCAGCGCCGAGGGACATCGGCGCTGGATATAGGTAAGTCACTGAAGGGGTTTTAACCCCTTCAGCAACTTGGGATGGGGGGTGGGAGGGAGAGGGGACCTGCAGTGCCAGGAAAATGGTTTGTTTCCTGGTACTGGACAGTACCTTTAAGTGTTTAGCAAGGTTGTATAAGTAACATCCAGGGAGGTGTGACTAGGGCTTTATAAAGGGATTTAACTCCTAAATGTCAGAGAATTGAGCAGCGAGATTGCAGAGTTATGATCTATACACCAAAAGTGCTTCATTAAGCTAAAGTTGTTTTGGTGCTTATAGTATCCTTTCAAGTGAGAACCATGACTGGCACAGCTCACTTCAAAAATTGCAAAGTAATGGTTTTGCAGCACATACAGGTACATACAATATTTTTTATTTGTTTTTGCATGTCTTTCATATTTATATAATCAACACGCTCTATTTAATATTAAAACCTACTTAAATAATATACCGTGCTTCAGATGAATTCAGGTGTCATTTTGCTTCAATGTATAACTTACAAATTGAATATGTTTATTAATCAGAGATCTTAAGCGCAGCTTGTTTAGTTTTTATTCTGATGCTTTGCTGTAAATAATTGAATACCTGAGTCTCTTCACAAACATATCTTTTTACCATTTTTATTAAGGTGAAAGCTTATAGTAATAATATTAGCATGTAGAAAACAGAAGAGAAGATTGCTTATAAAATTAAACAGGGCCTGTTCAGTTTCATTTTAGCCCTTGATACTATGTATAATAGGCAGGGCCAGACTGGGAAAAAAATTCGGCCTGGGCATTTTTTATTTAAATTCTTTATTTTATTGTGCTGAAGGTAACAAAGATAACAATACACTTTGCTTCGCCACGACAGCTGAAGAGAGCATTTCAATAACAAACATTTTCATGGCAAATCAAAAGAGCACATTTTTTATGTTATAAAGAGAACACGTGAAAAAAAGACAGTAGTTTATATCGCAAGACCTTCTATGATCGTTAAGTTATGACATACGGAGCTACGGCTAAGAAGGTCTTAGACAGATTAATAAAATTGGTATGTAGTGGTTGGAGACAAACTCCTAGGGATGCCCCAGGCCGGCGACCATTAGAGCTTGGTACAGTAATGCCATGTTATACAGGCTTCAGCAGAGGGGGTAGCTTTGAAAGAACAGGCAGCATGTTGGTTCAATGCTCTTCCAGGGCAGACAATGTGTTGAGCTCAGCTGAAGAGCTCTAGCATGAGAAAAAGGCCCTGTATTTGTTCTGCAGAGCGCAAGCAAATTTAATAACATGCTTGTGTTGTGTTTACTTGAAACTTGTCTCTGGGGTCTCCATAAATGGGATACTAGGAGACAAAAATCCAGGAAAGAGTACTGTACATGTGTCTGCAGCCTGCTTATGGCATTGCGTGTGTGTAGAGTGAGCTGATTGTGGTGTGGTTTTGAGTTAATAGGTTGGTTTCAGTCATGTTGTGTTTGTGGTGTAATGTAATGTATGTGTGTCTAAGTGCTGTAGAGTGTGTGTGTATGGGGGCATAGTGTGTATAGGGGATGTAGTGAGTGTGTGCATACGGGCTGTAGTGTGTGTGTATTTAGGTAATGTAGTATGTGTTTGCTTACAAGGAATCTAGTGTGTGCATAGGGGATCCAGGGGGTGTATGTCACAAATGTAGTGTGTGTGTAGGTGGTGCAGTGTGTGTGTGTATAGGGGATCTAGTGTGTGTTTGAAGGACCCAGACTGTGTATATGAGATCTAGTGAGTATGTGTGTAGAGGATTCAGAGTGAATATAGGGATCTAGTGTGTGCATATGTGTAGATGATTCAGAGTTGGGTAAGGGATCTAGTGTGTGTCTGGAATGTAATGTGTTTAAGGGTGCAGTGTGTGTGTGAAGGGTTCTGTAGTATATATACATATGTTTGGAAGTATTGTGTGTGTGTGTGTGGTGCAGTGTGTTTGGGGGCTGCTGTGTGTGTGTGTTAGGGATGTAGTGTGTATGTGTGAGGGGTGTAGTTTGTGTGTGTGTGTGTGTGAGGGTGCTGTGTGTGAGGGGTAAAGTGTGTGTGTGTGTGACGGTGCTGTGTGTGATAGGGTGCTTTGTGTGTTTTAGGGTGTTGTGTGAGAATGGTGTGTGTGTATGCGTGTGGTGTGTTTGGAGGGAGGCAGGTTTTTTAAACACCTTGGTGACCAGACCGTTTTTCAATTTTCTTACCGTTAAGGACCAGGGATCTTTTTATATGTCTGCGGTGTTTGTTTTTAGCTGTAAATTTCCTCTTACTCATTTACTGTACCCACACATATTATATACCGTTTTTATCGCCAATAAAGGGTCTTTCTAAAGATACCATTATTTGCATCATATCATATAATTTACTATAAAAACAAATATAAAATATAATGAAAAAAATTTTTTAAAACACACTTTTGCTTTGCTTTGACCCCCAAAAACTGTTACGCATCTACAACCGCCAAAAAACACCCATGATAAATTGTTTCCAAATTTTTTCCTGAGTTTAGAAATACCCAATGTTAACATGTTCTTAGCGTTTTTTGCAAGTTATAGGGCTATAAGTACAACTAGCACTTTGCTATTTCCAAACCAATTTTTTTTCAAAATTAACGCATTTTGCACAATGGCTTCCGATGCTCTGCTCTGCTTTACTGCCGGGCGCCACATGGAGCAATCCGGAAGGGATCGCTCCGGGGGGAGCAATCACTCAGGTGCCTGGCAGTAAGAGGCATCGCTGCAATACCATCAGAGCAGCTGGAAGATCTTTGATCTCCCTACTGGCCTGTCATGGAAGCAGGGCCGGCACTCTCTTATAACGCTGGCCTTGCATGAACTGGCTGGGGAGATCCTGAGACCTCCCCTGCCAGCCTCGGCCCATGGCCATCTAGGCCCACCGGCATTTGCCCGGTGTACCCGATTGCCAGACCGGGCCTGATATTAGATGACACCATGTCAAATAGGCATACATGTCATATTCTTAAATTACTCAAACTGTTCAGAGTTGTAACCCTGCTGATTTTAGCCAAAACTCCTCCGACCCACGGAAAATTACCATTACTACCCCACTACGATGTGATAGCTAAAATATTTCTTACCTTAATACTTGGACCCTAAATTCCAAAGTATTTTTTTATTTTTAAAGTAATTTTATTAAAACATTGTGCATTTGCAAACCCCTCTAATGGATTCAAGATATTTCAGAGATTAAAGAGACATCATCACGTCATTACGTTCTACGGCTTCCTTTTCATAATCTGTTATAACCAGAAAGCATAAAAACTTTTTGGAGCATCCTTGGTTTACATAATATGGTGGCGAATGCAAAAAAAAAATACATAAATATCTGGACTGTATTGGACTTGGGGAGAAAACAAAAAACATTTGTTATTATTTAACTGACCTTCTTTAACTATCGTTTAAAAGTAAATGTGCAAAGCGATCTACTTCTTGCAGTAATTGCTACTTCTCGTCTTACAGAAGGCCTAGCCAGTTCTGTTTCTTAAATAACTGGAAAATATATATGTATTATATATGCTCCAACACAGATGTTACACAGTGGATATCCTAACCAGGGTGTCACTGCAATATGTTTAGAACTCATTATTCATTCTTTTACATTTGGTGCCTGCAGGATCTCTTTAATTGTTCCATTTGCAGGAATACAAGCTTGATGAATATACATTAGCTGTAGTAAATAATTGAATGCTATTTATTTCATTCACTGATGCACAAAGTTTTGTATAATTTCTTTTTCATTCCACTGGCTCCTTTATACAGTTGTCATATATACACATGACGGCAAGATTGTCTCTGCATCTGAATGCATTCTAATCTTCCATTGACTTATAACTATAATGGGCTGTAATCAGAGCAAAATAAATCAGTTTCACTCTTGTCTGAGATTGAAATTTAAATAAGCAGAGCAGAATTGGCAGAGTTTGATAACATAGTATCAGATGAAAAATGGAGTTTGTAATGCTGACAATGTCTATAAATAATGTCTGTTCTGAAACATTTTAAATCTCCAAATGATAAACACACCACCAGAAAATGCTATGCAATTTCAAACTTTTGATGTTCAAATACTCTCACTAGCAGTGATAAAGACAGACGTACTTTTTGGGATGGATAGCTTCCTACGTAATTGAGAAATATGTCTGTGTCCTAATTAAAACGTAACTTTTATTAAAATATCTTCTAAAATAAGCAGGAGTTTTTGGTGAGTTTCAGTTTTGCACACAATAATATTACTCATTTAATGCATAAGAATAATAATTAAAAGGATAAATCAGCATTGCAAGGTATCAAAATCCCCCCACTATTAATTATTAGACACAGTAACAGACCAATCAACAATAAATAAATAGTGATAGTAAATCTTCCTTGTATAAATCCACATGTAGATACCCTTAGATTACATACATTTTGTTATTTTTCTCTTAAAGGGATACTATAAGTGCCAGGAATACAAAACTATATTCCTGGCACTATAGCCCCTCTGCTACCGCCCTCCCTCGTGCACCTGCTTCCCCAGTGAATAAAGGGTTAAAAACCCTTTATTTATTTACTTTTTCCCAGCGCCAATTGGGGACGGACTGGCCCACCGGGATACCGGGAAATTCCTGGTGGCCCACGGCACCTGGGGGCTGCACAGCTCTAATTCTTCCCTCTTATAGAGAGGGAGCCCTGTGGCCAGCTTGAGTAACACAGCGGCGCCGGCCGCATGTAGGTGCCGCCAGGTGCCCGTCCAGTGCCACACGAGGGGGCCGGGCGCGTTCAATAGTTACATTGCGGCCACATTGAGGGCTTGGGGGGAGACAAAGAGACACACAGAAGGTTTGCTGGGGGAGACATAGATGCACACAAAAGGGGCTGGGGGGGAGAGACATACAGAGGGTTGGCGAAGGGTAAAAAGAGATACACAGGGCTGGGATGAAGTAAAAGATACACAAGGTGAGTTGAAAAACGCACAAGGGGAGTTGTAAGAGACAGAAAGGAGAAAAGATACACTAAACGAGTTTAAAAAAAAAAAAAATCAAAAGAGGGAATAAGAAACAAAAAAATGGCAACAAATTAAAAAGGGGGTTAAGATAAACACAAGAGAAGATAAATTTTTTTGGTGTGTGTTTTGGGGGGTACATTTTTGCCTTTGCTGGCATGACACATTATTGGGCTGGTACTACTACTGGACATATTCTAGTATCAGGAGCTAGTGGGACTACACAGTCCTCTCCTTTACTACTTTGATCTATAAGAGATGAAATCATGTGTCACTAAAACAGGCTGCATGAAAGTAGAAAGGGAAGGATTTTAAGAAAGAAGCATAATAGCAGTGACAGCATGACAGTTGTAGTATTCGAAAAGGGGGGTGTCAGGTTGGTGTACAAGCAAAACAAGCTGACATACACGAGTACCGGTTAGCTATTTGTGTGCTGCGGAAATATAATCAACTTTTACTTTAATTCATGTCTGCTGCTTGCTCTGCCCCTGATCTGCCTGTTTTGGTGACATCATCAGAAGTGATTCTCTGAGCCAATCACAATGCTTTCCCATAGGATTGACTGAGATTGTCAAGGACGCAGATGATGGTCAGAGCCAGCTCTGGCCAGTCAGCATCTCCTCATTGAAATGCATTGAATCAATGCATCTCTATGAGGAAAGTTCAGTGTCTCTATGCTGAAGGTGGAGACACTGAATAGAAGTGCTGCACAATGTGGAAGCACCTCTAGCAGCCATTTGCGTGGCCAGTGGAGGTTTCCCTAGGCTGTAATGTAAACACTGCATTTTCCCTGAAAAGACAGTGTTTACTGCAAAAAAGCCTGAAGGTAATGATTCTACTCACCAGAACAAATTCAATAAGCTGTAGTTGTTATGGTGACTATAGTGTCTGTATTGTGGCCAGGTTGTCATTGGAATAGCTATAGACAGACTGTCTGATATAATTTCTAGCGACCATTGCAACCAGGCTCTTGAAGTTTGTCAAGATGTGTCTTAAATTACTTCTATATACAAATATATTTAACATACACGTATATTAACATTGTTTGTACTGAAACAATGCCTCATCTGGTTAAACTATGAATGCACAATACAATTTATTGTTTTATTTTTTTTATTTGTAGCATCCATGCCCTCTTTGTGAAGAAGCTAAAGAAATACTTTTACCGTACATGAACAAGGTAAAATCTAGATACCTCTCTATTATTAAAATTACTTTGTCATTTGTCTATGAATATATTAAGTCTTGTCACTTCCATTATTAAAACTATAAATGAGGCTGATTATTTTGCTTGTAATAGTACTGATAATTTATACAGTGTCAGTGTCTTTTGAATAATAAATATAAAACTTTATTATTTTGCAGTGATGATACACATTTGGTTAGTTTGCCACAGAGGCTCTGAAACGTACTGTATAATAATATTTGAAAGTCTGCTCTTAATGAGGGCTTCAATCGTCCTACCAGGGGCCCCATGTATGCATATTTTGAAGAAGAAATACCTTGACTACTGTCTGTAATGTATCACTTGTCCTGTGACTGACCAAAGATTTGTGCACTGGGAACCAAATCACCAGTTGTAAGTAGTCTTGTGTGGAGTATAGAACTCTTGAACAAATAGAATAGTCCAAGAGGTATCTGCTGCACTCATTATTACTTTGTTTATAAAACACCCACCTTCCTAAATCACAAAGCCACAATATATTAAAATCTTTTTTTAATTGTTTTTATGAATGCATTTCTTTTACATTTATTGCCCTCCCATCATTATTATTTGTGTAGGATGGATTGGCAGAACATATTTAGCATGGTTGCTAGGGGACCCCCAGTCATATGGGGGAAGAGGGCAAGGAGAGGTCCATTATTATTATTATTATTATTATTATTTTATTATTTATATAGCACCAACAAATTCTGTAGCGCTGTACAATGGGTGGACTAAGAGACACATAATTGAGATCAGACCATTATATCGGTATATGATGCCCAACAGAGTGGAAATCTCTTGGGAATCTCGTATTTTGTATAAAAGGCACAAATCATTGGACATTTCCTAGGTACTAACAGGAGCCCATAGTATTTAATATAAAGAGAATGGGCATCACCTGGGCCCTGGTAGGGACACTATACATTTATTTAAGTAGCCCTGGAGACTGTGCATCTTCTGTGTCCTAGTAGAGACAATATTATTTTATACTAAGCATCTCCTGGGTCCTAGAGGGGACCAGTATTGTTTTATATAAAGGCCCTATCAGGACAATATTTAATAAAGGCCCCAGCAGACTAGATCTATTACTAGGCATCTTCTGGGATCCAATATATATACTTTCACCCCACTGCACATGGGCTGAATGATAGTGTCGGCGCTATTTGTCAAGCTACCTAGTATTTTGGTCATCTAGCTGAAACCACACTGAAAAGAGAGCGCAAATTGTAGAATGTTTGGGGGTAGGAGTTGTTTGTGTCTGTTTCTACCAGTGGGAGACAATTTATAATTTTAATGGATAATAACAGTCAGTAAACTGTTGCAATCAGGTTAGAAAGCAGGTGGTAACCATTCACTAAGTAGCAATTCACTTTTCCCGTCATACTCATATACTCATGAGAGCTATTAACAGTAGTAATTCACTGTTGTAAATAGCAGAATTTCAACTAACGGTTGGCCAGTAACGATTATCAACAAGCTTTCCCTTTCAGCGTATGCAGTAGCACAAAAGAGAAGTAAGCCTGACTGAGTTTGTAAAAACGCATTACCTTTGAAAATAGAAATACAAAACTAACTTCTGGTTAAAGGTTTTCAATGAATACTATTTCATGATTAAACCTTGTCAAATGTGATTGTCATCTTGTTTTCCCAATTACTTTTAATGAATTGTTTAATACAATTTTATAGCAATTTACATTTGAACACCTGCTTCCATGGACCACATTTGCTAAATTTCCTTATCATATTTGCCTACTATAAAATGCTTTGTGTGATAATCCTGGAATGTATCAAATGTCTGGGACTAAACCATATTTTGCATGCAATTACAGACCACAAATGTAATCTGATATTATAATGGAAAAATGAAGTCACAGTGAATTAATAATGATCATTTGTTGAAATAAAATGATGTGTGTGAGTCACAAACGCTGTCATGGTTACAGAGGGTGCGTTTAAATGAAAAAGAAAACAACAAAACAATACAAATGTAAAACTGTAACAGCTCATAACTGTAGGTATGTATGTCTTTGGGACTTGTTAAAATCTTATCTTAAAGTTAAATAATCACTTCTATAACCATCTCTTCTTTTCTTATTTGTGAATAGTGATGGTGTACATCCAGTATACTCACCATGCGTGATGTGTAGCAATTTAAGAAAAAAAAAAAAAAACACAAGGAACTCTGTTGGAAACAATAAATTGGGTCTATTATATGACTGTTATATGACTCCTTTTTAAACATAATTTATCAGAAAAGTTTTCAGCTTTTCCATGTGCACCCCGTTTTTTTCCCTCTAAACATATTTACTCTTTTAATCTTGTTTTTTTTTTTTTCCTTCCTTTCTTCCAACACCAAATCTGTCCCTTGGGGCAGTGGCTTCAAAGTAGTTGTTTTTTTGGGACATATAAAGAAAGAAACATTTGCGGCCTGCGGTGCATTTCTTGCAGTCCTGATGCATGGAGAAATGCTTAACTCCTGATGCATGGAGAAAAGGCCTTCACAAGCCTCTGCTATTGTGTACATAGTTTATACTAAGTGACCCATAGGTTGAGGAGGCGGTGACCATGGCGGTGTAGGTGGAAGCAGCGGTGGAGGAGGAGGAGGTAGCCAACACTGTTTATATATATATATATATATATATATATATATATATATATATATTATTTTTTTTTTTTAATTGGGGTAGCCCCCAAAATATTGGGACATACAAAAAAGAAAACTGTTCCGCAGAGCGACTGACCCACGCGTGCTGCATCTGAAACTCCGTTATTGCCTGCTGCTGCTCGCACAGTCTCATGAGGCGGTGAGCGGGAAGGCCAACGTTACGCTGCAGCGCAGACAGGCAAGCAGCAGCAGGGTGAGAACGACAAAAGCGCGCACAGCCGCTACAGTGAATGTCACATCCTGTTCCAAGTTTCGGATCAGTCTGGTGATGGCTTCTGGTATCCAGTACTCTTTTTACTGAAGCTGCATCATGTTCCTGGTATGTGGCCGCACAAACGCTGGTGCTCAACACCAGGGGGCGTGCGGTTACCCTGCACCAGACCCTGCTAATCCATTCCACACTGTGTCTCCTAACTTCCACATCAGGCATACTGGGTCCCAGTCGTCCGACCGCCACCCAGACAGTGTCTGGGTCCCGGTCACCGTACTGCGAAACTGCGAATGGCTCGTTAAATCTGTTATGGTTCTTTTTATCGCTTCAACTGTTACTTGGATAACTGTGGGAATTCTAAAGATAATACATGCCGAACGAGCACTAGGGGATGGCCGCTCTGCTTTTGCACCCTACTCCCTCTTATGCTGTGCTGGTGCTTCTGTGCGACCAGCGCCTCTCCTCCAAACTGCACACGTCACTCGCATGACCTTGATTCCATGTGGGGTCTAGGACCTCATCATCCTCCACATCATCTTCTACCCACTCCTCAACCCTGCCCTCCTTGCCGGTATGCACACTGCAGAAAGCCACAGCAGTTGGCACCTGTGTTTTTCCAGCATGTAAAGTCTGCAAAGGACATATGGAAATTGTTTTAGAATTGTATCCAGGCAACAGTTTTCCCTATAAACTGACCTCTCAGTTTGACTTGTGAGGGTATTGCCCCAGAATTACAATATTGTTTAAGTACCTCTTAGCTATTGATAACTGGTTTAAATATAGAAGCTTGTTATCTGGTAGTTTCTAGTGTAGAAAATATCAATCTGTTTTCTATCACTTAGATCTGAGTAACAAGTGTTGTAGGTGTGAAACAATATTACAAGTGACTGACCGATGTAGTAAATTCGAAAGTTCCATTTGCAAAAAAAATTCTCGACCATCTTCTGTGGGTTATCGCATTTTTAAGATGTAGACTTATTGTATCACACTAGCCATGCACAGGTAGATTGTCTGGCATGTTGTTTTGGTGTTTGGTTTTTAACTTTGTAGTTGTGTCTTTACACAATATAGAAATGTATATTAATGCTTCTGTATATGAAGCGACCACAATAACACTTATTTTTCACTTTAAAAAAAAAAAAAATCAGACAAAACTAAAATTGGTAATTAACAATATGACATCTGAAAAGCACACGAAAGGATGCTGTATGATTTAAAAAAAAAAGAGCACACCACATGAAGATCCTGTTCACTAGAGTGTGTAGTCATGAGTGTAACCAGTAAAACTTTGTTTTTACAGCCAAGGGTTGGCCCATACATATTTTAAAACTTGTTTAATTTTGTTATAGCATGACTTGTAGTCTTGTTTTTAACTTGTCTATAATACATATTTTTGTATGACACTTTTTTGTTTTTTCATTGATTATTGAATTTTAATGGTCTAAGATAATTAACATGTCAACAGGCAAACGTAACCCGAATGATTTGTCTCAGTCTTGCCTTCTATACTACCTGCACCATAGGCAACATGTATTTGTCTTTAGAATTTCTTGAGAAGCGGTAACTAGCCAGTGTTGCACACATACACCAGATATGAAGTGCACACCCCAAATGTACTATTTAGCACCCAGAAAATTTGAATGTTTACAACTGCGCTGTAAGCGCACTATTAGACGCTTCGATTTGACTCTCAGATATGAAGAGCAGGCCCCAAAATGTACTATTTAGCAGATTAGCAGCAAAACAATTAGAATGTTTACAACTGCGCTGTAAGCGCACTATTTGACGCGTCGATTTGACTCTCAAATATGAAGTGCACGCCCCAAAATGTACTATTTAGCAGATTAGCACCCAGAAAATTAGAATTTTTACAACTGTGCTTTAAGAGCACTATTAGACGCTTCTATTTGACTCTCAGATATGAAGTTCACGCCCCAAAATGTACTATTTAGCAGATTAGCAGCAAAACCGAGGTCCAAAAAACGTAATGTTTGGTACGAACCCGAACTTTACAGTCCGGTTACGCTCAACTCTAGTAAAGAGACATGCATCCTTCAAGTTTAGACTTTCTCACATCTGTTCTTGCTGTTGAAACAGAATGCGCATTGGATTGGTGGAGCACTGTGATTGCTGCGCATGCACTGTAGTTCCCCAAAGAATTATTTGACTGGATCTGAGATCATCAAATGTTATGATCTTAGTGAGGGCAGATTGGCCTGCATCAAGGAGACAGTCTTGGCACTATGAAATAGATAGGTGTATTTATTTAATTTATGAAACCGTGGGGATCTTAAATCTAAAACCAAAAATGAACACCCTAACAATAAAATTTAAATCATGTATTTAAAATGCAGTGTTACTTTAGTTAAATCAGCATGTATAGCTTTTTTTTTTTTTTTGAATGAATGAATGAATAAGTATTGCTTAGTCAAAAAACGTTTAGGGTAGAATACTGCGTTGCTGCAATCTATATTTATTTCCGAGGAGAACTTGGTAAGATCTACTTCCTAATTCCAGTAGTCTGTGTATGTATATTTACTTTTAACTACATGTTTTTTGCACATAATTGGTTAAAATATAATGGAGTCTCTAGAGGAGCTGTCTGGTTTCTATTGGTAAATTACTTTAAAGTGGTCATTGTCAATCATCATCCTATTTTAATAGAGTGCGTGTGTGTGTGTGTGTGTGTGTGTGTATATATATATATATATACACACACTTGAAAACGGGAGAAATCTCATTGTATCCTTCCTGGTAAAATATTTTATAAATATATATACATACATATACACATGCACATTTTGATGAGTTTGACTGTACCATTCAAGCGCAGAGATAAAAGACTGGGGATTCTGCTAAATTTTAGAAATATCACTGTGACGGATAGCTGGACAGCAGACTAGAGCCGTCCCTGGGCTCACGTCACATTAAGTAGGGCAAGCAAGCGTGGCAGCCCAGTAAAAGTGTAGATGGATGCCAGGAATATTTAAAATAATTAATTATTCATGTAAAGCAACTGAGCACTGCAAGGTGAGACTAAAATGTTACTGGTTATAGTATTCCCTATATAAGATAATTCACAAGCAGAAAAAATTAGCTTTGCATGAAAATGATTTCACACTAAGCAATAAAATATAGAATATTTGCAGACATGTATTAGGCAAAGGCATAATAGAAATGCCAAGGATGAAGGTCTTTTAAAATTTAATTAAATAAAAAAAGAAAAGCATTTATGGAACTTTACAGGATATGTTACGCAACATTAATAATCATGTTCCTGCGAATTGGTCTCAGCAATATACTCTTAGTTTATATTAGTTCTAACATTAATAGAAAATAGTCCTCGGGCAGAACAGGGAGGATCACTTGCTGGAATTCTCTGTGTTTTTATCATTATCTAGGATTTATAAAGCAATGCAGGGGTCTCTACACTTTCAGAATGGCCTATGGATAAATGGTGCACTGCATAGCCGGTATTAATTGACGAGATTACAAAACTGGTGCATTAACGGACGTTATATGTTTTTAGAAAGAATGCATTTGTTTTTGTTTAGAATAGGCTCTACGCATTGTTTACTTTACAAAGTGTCAACATTTTAGTGAACCTGGCTATTGTTGAGGGCAATGTTTCAGACAATTGTGTGCACCTATTGGTTCGAGATGTCTGCTCCAAATGATGTGTTCTATCAGAAAGCTTTGAGACAGGCTTAGAACAATGCTGTGTTAGCACTTGCAGCACAGTGTCATATCCAATACATATCTGCTGGTCAAGCCTTTATGGGAAATCTTCAGACTCCACAGAATGAGCAGACCTGGTGGTGGAGCTGGTTCTGGCTCGGGGCAAAGTTCACTGCTGCTTGCATAGTGATTTGCAGTAACTGCAGAAACCTAATATGGGAGTTTCATTTTCATTTATTTACATATTTTTTCAACACATTACCTACAAAAAGCTTTAGAGAATAGGTGGAATTGTCCAGACTCTAGTGTTCCTTTAAAATGTTTTATTACTGGTATTTATAAAGCGCCAACATGTTCAGCAGCACTGTACAATCTGGGGAGATAGACAGTACAGTATAGACAAGCCAATGCAAAAGGAGAACCCAGCCTGTGAACTGAGATTTTTATGCAAAGTATATAGCTAGATGGCTCATGAGTTTACATTCTAAAGGATTTATCTCCTTTACGTTAACGCTATCATATACGATCATTGAAATGATTTTATTTATAAACACTTCGTGTTATTATACCACTTAGCTACTAATATTATTGCAAGTCACATTTATTCCACACATAAATATTTACATCTGTTATTTTACATTTCACTGCCATCACATGCCTGGGGTTTTTCATTAACTTTATATTAGAGGCAATGAAGTTTACTTTCCTTGCCATATGCCGAGCAGCAAATATCATCATAAAAAGTTATGTTGTATTACTTTGCGTATCACATTTTAATAGTTTTATCCAATTTGGCAACTAGATCCAATATTTGCCCATTTGGAGGTTAGTAGGAGCACTCCAAACCTCTAGTACTTCAGCTTGCAGAAACGCTTTAGGAGTTAAGAGTGTCTTAGTCTTTAAAAGTGTCAATCAGCTGTGGGGTGTTCTATTGAGAAGCATTCTGTTGGTGATCACTGCACAAACGCCATAGAACCCTGATGTTTCTCCATGAGATACATTTTCTTGCCCCAAGAAACCCTTACTAGTTAAGATCTCCTGAGTGAGTGTGGAGCAGAGCTGTGGCAAAGAGGCCATCTCAAAGCTGATAATAGATTAGTAACCGCTTTATTTTTGAGATACTGGTTGGGGGAGCACGCTCTTATTGAAATAATAGTACAAGAACACTCCAGTGTTACAAATTAATGTATTTATTTCTAATGCTACAGTATTTCTATAAAATCACAAAGAAAAGAAGCTGCAGCAATAAGCATTGCCAACCAATTCTCTACGTGCATATAACCACAAAATGTGTATGACATATTTGTTAACACAAAAAAGGTATACACTATGTACAGGAAGATATGGCAAACAGGGTTTTAAATGATAGCAATGCATAGTGCCATCTAATAATGCACTAGAAATTGCCATTTATAGGGTTAGTCAGTAAAGTGAGAATTCAAGGTGAATTTAACGTTAATTTAAAATTTAAGGTCAAAATAGCTGAACTGGAAAAATTCCGCTATGCTTTCCATTCCGCTACTCTGGCCTTAAATTTAAAATTGACTTTCAATTAACTTTGAAATCTCACTTGAGTGAATAGTCCTGCATGTCAGGTGAGATTTCTGGTTAAGATCTTATGACCTTCAATGGAGCTCTCACTTTCTCTGTTGTCTTCTGGAAAAGCTTGAGCTGAATAAATGATTTAACATACCTGTAGCTATATTTGCAGATACTCTTGTTCATTCAATAGAACGTGATACATTGAAGCACTATAAAACAATTTTCGGATATTACTTTACATGGGCATTGTCTGTCAATAGCTGGTCTGCAAGTTTAACCATTTGCCATCTGCATTGTTTGGTATTATTTAATGTAAAACATAGCTTGCTGGACTTGAATCTGTAAAATGCTTTAAATTCACAATGGGGATTAAAAGATTGAAAAAGAAAAGAGAGTTGAAATTAATAAGGTTTAGAAAGATGGAACAAATGTTGCCTTTTTATGACACAAAATGTACACTTAAGTATATTTGGCAAAAATGTGTGTATTTTGTACGTTTACTGGTACTTTATTGACAAAAACTTAAAGGAACAATATAGTGCCAGGAAACCAAACGTGTATGCCTGACACTATAGTGGTAATCTCACGGTTTAACTCCCCGGTCCCGCTTGTCCCCTTTAAAAAGTTAATTTTACTCATTTAATCTCCCACACTGCCCTGGTTTCGCATTGGCTGACTCTGCCTCAATCCACCATCGTGGCTGAGATTATCATCAAACCTGATGGTCTCTGCTTATCCAATGATTTCCAATAGCATTGGGAGGCTATTGCACATGTGTGGCAAAATGCTACACTGAACGTAGCACTTACCCAGGAATCCCTTTTAACAGCCGTCTGAGTGTGGTGTTTTAAAAAGCCTGCAGGAACAGACATCAAGCTGTAGTTGTTCTGGTGACTATAGAGTCGCTTTAAGGTTTCAGATTGTAGTGCAAGTAGTTCAGGGATGTGCAATTCACCACACACCCAAGACATGTAGCTCCGGGCACTGAGCCGGCAGTTTTTTGGTTTATTTTGCTATTCAGCCCTGCTGTGGGCAAGCAGTTGGGTTGCTACACTTAAGAATTAAGAAATATAAGCTGGAAGATGGAATAAAGCATACAATGGTGGATAAACATAAGGTGACAAGCCTGGAACAGGGGACCTCTGGTGAGTTCAGACCACAGAAATCTTTCCCTTGTACTCTGGGGCTCACTAGTTAGTCAGAACCACAGTATTCACAACCTGTGCTTTGACTTACTGAGCGATAGATTGTGAGGGAGCAATTTCTGTTGTCTGCACCCGCCAGAAGTGCAGACCACATGGTGGGCCACCAGGGATGCAGGGTTCGCACTACACAACCAAGGAATGTGACCACATGTTGGACCAGCAGGTATTCAATAAATCTGAGTAGGGGAAGGATAAACAGAGTACCACACATACATGTTACAGAAAGCTAGCACACACACACATACACACACATTATACATACAGCCAGCACACATCATTTACACATACTCACAAATGACACTCAGCCAACATAAACAACACACATTACAAAACTAGTCAGCACAAATCACATGCACACACATTTCATACACCCACCACATTTACACAAATTACATATACGGTAGCTAACACACACAATACTATACAACCCGTCAACACACACTATAGGGGGAGGACAGTTAGTTGATACACTAAACTAAATTGTTTGCAAATTAAATCCGAATGGCTAAGCTGAGTCAAATTTGGTGCATCCTATAATTATTTTTAAACCCTGCTATGAGAAATGTCAAGACATATCCGATGTTTAAAACACTGCCTAAATTGGATTGGATGCTATGGCTTCTACATATATTGCCATATAATACTTTATCCTTTACAGAAGACTGAACACGGAAGATAGATGCCAAACCACAGTTATGTGATCACCTGACATAGCTTTGCTGATAGTTGTAACATGGCCCAGTGCTATTCTTGTACTGTTCTGTTAAGGGAATATCTGAGTATGAAAGCAGCTGAAGACAGAAGCCAGGTTTTTATGTTAATCATTGATCATCGCACATCCAGAGTTCACACCCCTCTGGACTGGAATCAATTATTGACAGTTTAAAAATGTCAGTGGTCAGTGAAGGAATATCCATTATGCAAATGCTCACCATTAGCAGTTAGTTCAGACTAACACTTCCCCATTCTCTCTCTTGCATTCATTTCTTTAGTTTTCTTTGTTTAAACAAGAATACGGTCACATGTTTAGATGTTCATTCATCTAAACCTATTCTACAGATCTACGTAAACACTGTGTACCTGCATGCCAAGTCTCACTATTGGCTAATGCTTATTTTTTTTTTTTTTGATTGTTATATAATACAAAGAACTGCAACTCACGGTTTTCCTAAAGTTATAGTTACTTTAAAAAATAAATAAATAAAGATTACAGTGGAACTGGAAACCAGTGAACGAGTAACATATGTAAATGTGTTAATTTTGACAGTTATTTATACTGCATGTCTCCAAAATCAAAAGTAACTGGTCATGTGTGATGAGCTGATCTGTTATCCCCACAACCAAAATACATGGAAATAAATGTTTGTAATTTGAATTGAACCAGAACAATTATACATTTTGGAGCAACACTTAATTCCTCTGCAAGCAGTGTTCACGTTGATGAGTAATTTTGCAACATATTGTGTCTATATATGTGTGTGTGTGTGTGTGTATGTATATATATAATACACAAGATCCAGCGCACTCACCTATCCACTAAACAGCAATTTCAATGTTGAAAGATTTTATTTGTTTGTTTTTTTTAAAACACCTTATCTAGGCAAAAATAATGGGGGTTTAGTTACATTATATGATCATACATTGCATAAGCCTGCCACAACGTCAATGTACCCCATCTTTGGCAGGTCCTACACTAACAGCCTAATGACTGCTCTTATGAGATTAACCCACTTACTTATATTTTTCCATGTATAAGACTATGGATTTTTCAAAATTATGTTAGTCTAAAATTGGGGGTTGTCTTATACGTGGAATGTACTGCAGGGGTTAAAAAAAGCCCTTGTGTGCAGGCCTAAGTTAAGATGGTGCCTGCCGCATTTCAGTGTGCAACGGCCCACACACATACCTGGCCTCCCTCGCACTAATAAACTTCTGAATGCTGTTGCAACGGGGCTCCAGAGTCATGCCACACAGAAAAGGAGCAGCCATATTACGGTTTGCTCCACCTCAGGTAGAAAAGGAGCAGCCATATTAAGGTTTGCTCCAACTCAGGTAGATCTTGCTTTCTGATTTATATTTATGGGGGAGGAAATGGGGATCAGGGAGCAGAGGGAATACTACTGTGATGTCCCAGCATGCCCTCATACCACCTGCTGTATTGTGGGAGCTGTAGTTTCCCAGCATGCACTATGGAGCCATTAACTTCACAGAGTACCGTAGCACAGGAGAGGCATGAGAATCAGAAGTGTTGTGCTCCTCAGAAGTCACCTATAAAATATCAAAGTTATTCTATTTGATGTTTAAAATATTGATTTCTTAATTTTGGACTTAAAAAATAAGGGTCGTTTTATACATGAGGGCATCTTATACACAGAAAGATATGGTAACCGTTACTTAGTTTCCAATGTGTCTGTTAGGGCAGAATATTATAAAGTGGCTTCCGATTGTAAAATCATACCCAACAGTAGTCTTGATAAAGATTTTGGTGGGGTTTAAACTCTGATTATATATATTTCGTTATTTTTTATTTTTTTTACGTAAATACAACTTTTACAACTTTTTTTGCTTTGGGAAGACCTGTGAATGCAACCTTTATGTTGTAATAGAGCACTGAACACCCATGAATAATAATTGCAATCACATGTAAAGGAAAACTGTCATCATTTTCTAATATTATTTAAATAAGACATTGCACATATTATGACCCCGGTGCATTAATTTACAATACATACCATTTAATACCTTCTAATTAGTTCATCTTCTAGCTTACCCAAGGGGGAGGTTATCTGTAAGAAGCATTGATAATCCTACCAAAAACTGTACAGATAATCAAAAACTTAAATGCACTCTGGCACGGTTTCAGTTCTACATAGCAAAATTCCAAGAGTTAATATTTTAGAAACATTAGTTTTCCTTTAATTATTCAATGATCGTTCAAATGTTTTACTTTTACATTGTTTCATTCTACATTTTTCAATGTGCCATTTTAACATCACTGTAACGAAAAACGATATGCTCTTTCTCATTTCAATTTGGAAGTGCAGTTCTATAAATCAATGTACTACACTGGGGTTGAAGAAAGCTAGGTGTTCTAATGTAGGCAGCTTTTTTATTGAACCTTTTCGTAAAAACCAATTGTAGCAAATATAACATATACCTAATGTATGAGCATGGATACATAGTCTAATGTTTCAGGCCACACAGCCTACTCTTTAGACTGAATTCTGTTTCTAATCATCCCTTTATGAGAGTAATAGTGAGACATTTGAGTTATATGAGATGTATACCTGATTAATCCATGAACCTTTTTTGTATGTGTAATTATGTACATTTACGGAAGTGTTGAAAATCGGCATGTAGGCCAAAGATCGAAAAGTTGTGAAGTAATCACCCTGAAGGCAAAATCATATTCTTGCTGATTCCAGCAGTTTCCATGGTAATGTTGTGAATTTTAGAATTTGATCTTTTATTCTCTTCTAAATCTGATACATTGCCCTCTGTATTTTGTAAATCTAAACGTTTTTAACACATTGACGTATTTACTCATTTCTATCTTTTTGCTTTAGTTTGTTTTAGAGCAAGTGGACATTAGTCTTCCTGAGAACTCGACCTGGTATGAAAGATATAAAAATGATATTCCTGTTTTTCATCTTAATGGGCACTTTCTGATGATGCATAGGGTAAACCTGAAAAAACTGGAAAAGCATCTTGAAAAATTGGAGCAAGAAAATGGAAAACTTTAATATTGAAACATGTTAGCTTACCTCAAATATCTCCTTGCTGTCAAATAAAGTAAATTATTGTTATTATTGTAATCATATTTAAACTCCTTTTCCACTTCGAAAGAACCACTTTAAACTCCTTGTCTATATAGATCTATCTATGTATATATAGATATATAGATAGTATTGTTAAATGAACACTCCGAGCACCATAACAACTTCATTTTCATCAATATTAAGTTGTTATGGTGCCATAAGCCACCTGGTAAATTCCATGCCTTTAGTGGTTAAACTGCTCACAAACGGTTTAAACCCTTCAAGCAAGGCAGTGCAATGAAGCTCCTGGCACCATGACAACATAATTTCAATTAAGTTGTTATGGTGCACGTCGTGTTCCTTTAAGGTCAGATAGGATTTTGATTTGATTACATATGTATGTATCATTAGCTGTTTAGTGTGAATAAAATCTTTTTAAAACATTTTTAAAATCAACTTACACTTTTTTTGTGTAATAATTAGTGTACCGATAAAATAAATAAATATATATATATATATATCTCAAAATGTCATAACAGCAAGCATGTGATTAATCGACTCCACAATTAAAGGGGAGCTGTCACTTTCCTTGACTAAACTTTTTTTAATATTAAATAATATTGCTCATGATTTTGCTCAAAAATCTGTTATTAGCTCTAGAGATGCAGTGAAAAAAACAATAGTTTTTAAAGAAGTCCAGAGTTTGCTTTGTGAGCACTGTGAAGGGTTCTTGGAGTTAAAGTTCCATCATTCATTTGTTATTATAGAATGCTGATAGCAGAACTCCAATCCCAAAACCTAACTTTTCATGTACAGCATTATTTATTGAGTAAAAAGTGAAATCCTGCAATACAAAAGGGAAGGAAAGAGGGATGGATGGAGAAAGGGACAGAAAAATGGTAAGAATATGGTACAAAACTTAATAAAACCCAGAAATAAATAGTATAACTGTGATCTAATGTAGGCATCACACCTAACAAGTGTGAGTGCATGGATTGTCTTGTAATATAAATTTAATATGAAGCCCAGTTCTAGCTGAAAAACATGTTTGCCTCACATGTCTTCTCTTGTGTATTCTGGATACCATTTTGTTCATCACACACTGTATGTGTTACACATTGTGTCACTCTGAAGTTCAACCTAAAATATATATTGTATATGGACCTATATGTTTGTGGACCTCAATTTGATTTCTACCACAACATTAAAGTACAGAAACTAATCAGTTTTATATGTTACATCGCCTGTATTTGACACGTTTATGCTTGTCAGGTTTGAAAAATAAAATTACATATATAAACCAACACTTTTTATCCTGCAATTGCATATTTTGCTTCCTGTCAACCTGCAATAAACTTTATCCTTTGCAGCGGGCAGCCAGCATAAGGGAAGCATACAGAGAAGACAAGGTTGCAAACATGGAGGATAAACAGAAACATTGTTTAACTCCTTAAGGACTGGACTGTTTTTGCGATGTTGTACATTTGCGACCAGGCGTATTTTTACACTTTTGTGGTGTTTGTGTTTGGCTGTAATTTTCCGCTTTCTCATTTACTGTTCCCATACAAATTATATATTGTTTTTTTCAGGACAAAAGGGGCTTTCTTTACATACCATTATTTATATAATCTCATGTATTTTAATTTAAAAAAAATACAAAAATCTCATGAAAAATTGAAAAAAATACATGTTTTTTGACTTTTACTTGAAAAATCTTTTACTCATCTACAAAAGCGAATGAAAAAAACTGAAAAAATTTTGTCCTGAGTTTAAAAATACCTAGTGTTTACGTGCTTTTTTTTTTGCATGTTATAGGGCTATAGGTACAAGTTGGATATTGCGGTTTCAAAACATACATTTTTAAAATTTATCAATAGTGACATTGTAACACTATTATCTGTCATAAATCTCTGAATAACACCCCACATGTACATATTTTTTTTAAAGTAGACAACCCAGGGTATTCAATATGGGGTATGTCCAGTCTTTTTTAGTAGCCACTTAGTCGAAAACACTGGCCAAAGTAAGCATTCATATTTGTTTGTGTGTGAAAAAAGTAAAAAAACTAAATTGAACGCTAATTTTGGCCAGTGTTTGTGACCAAGTGGTTACTAAAAAAGACTGGACATACCCCATTTGCAATACCTTGGGTTGTCTTCTTTTGCAAATGGTATGCCATCATGGGGTAATTCTCATTCCTGGGCTACCATACGCTCTCAAAGGCAACGTAACCAACCTGGCCATTTTCAATGTAAAAATATTTGACCCATATATTTGACCTTGTAACTTTCAAAAATGCTATAAAACCTGTACATGGGGGGTACTGTTTTACTCGGGAGACATCGCTGAACACAAATATTAGTGTTTAAAAACTGGAAAACGTATCACAACAATTATATCATCAGTAAAAGTGCTGTTTGTGTGTGAAAAATGCAAAAAAAGTAACTTTCACTGACAATATCATCGCTGTGATATGTTTTACTGTTTTGAATCACTAATATTTGTGTTCAGCGAAGTCTCCCGAGTAAAACAGTACCCCCATGTACAGGTTTTAGGGTGTCGTAGAACGTTACAGGGTAAAATACAGTGCTAGCAAATTAAATTCTCTGGAATTTCGGCCTGGGTTGGCAGGCAGGTCCCTCAAATTGCAATCAATAAAATTACTGAATTATGTAAAAATATTACATAAATACGCACGTAGAATTTAAATATATATGCATATTTATATATTTGAAGTCTACGTGTATATTTATATAATTATTTATGTAATTTTGTATATGGACGTATGTATATTTCTTATTATTTTTATTTATTTTTATATACATAGATATATATACAAATTCATTCTAAGTGTATTTTGATATAAATATATATATATATTAATTTTAAAATACAGTTAGAATAAAATTTCATATAGCTATATAATTTTTTTTACATTTATTATTATTTAAAAATTTTTTTATTTAATTTAAATTACTTATTATTTATATTTTATAATAATATATATATATACAATATATATAGTTATTATATATATTATATATATACATGTGTGTAATTTAATTATAAGTGTATTTTTATATTAATATAAGTACATATTAATATAAAAATACACTTAGTATGACATTATATATATATATATCATATATAGACATATATTATATCGATATAATATATGTCTATATATCATATATACACATATATAATTATTTTTATTTTTTTTATTAACATTAACTTTATTTATTTTTTTGATTTTACACTAGCAGGGAGACTGCCTGTCAGTACAGGCAGTCCCTCTGCAGGCAGACACATGGACACCTATTGTGACCATGTGATCGCTGTGTTAAGCGATCACATGGCCACAGGGGTCCTAATCTGCCGTGGGGAGACTGTCTGGGCTGCAGGCAGTCTCCCCACAACCGGAGCCACGCTGATCGCCGCCGGGGAACGACGGCGATCAGGTAAGTAGCTCTGACCGTTAGGACGGTTCAGGACCGTCATCGGTCGGCAACGCAAAAATGCCGATGACGGTCCTGAACCGTCCTCGGTCGGGAAGGGGTTAATTTCTCTTTGTTTGTTTCCAGAGAAGTGGCGGTTTCCCTTTGAGGTAAGATTATATCAACCCACACGTACTTTGGGAGATTAATTTACAAATAGAATAAACACAAAGAGACGTAATACTCACATTTTAAAAGGCATCAAAATATTAGCTTATAAATTGTATGCATGTTTGCGGAACAACTGAAATGATGTGCCGAAACTGACCAGCATTTCTATTTTATGCGCATTTTTTTTTTTTGCTTTTCCTTCATGTGTTGCAAATGTATAAATCTTTTTGTGAAACACAGTTTATATCAATTCTTTATAAAAGAAATGCGAAAATAGTATGGATGTGTATTACCTATACTTGGTGTAGCTGGGTTTAAAGAAATCATGGGTGTATAGTAGTGGTAGGAAGCCAAAGTTGTGTTCTTAGCACTGTAGTTCCCTAACGTTTTTCCCTTTTCCTCCCTCCCCCCTCCAGGGGTAAAAAAAACCCTTTATCGCTTAACTGAATCAAGGGCAAATGTCCCTTGGTAGTGATATCCCGAATGGTTCGCCGCGGACGGCGAACATATGACCCTGTACCTCACAGTCAGCAGACACATTCCAGCCAATCAGCAGCAGACCCTCCCTCCCAGACCCTCCCACCTCCTGGACAGCATCCATTGTGAAGCTGCATTCTTAGTGGGCTGTCCAGGAGGTGGGAGGGTCTGGGAGGGAGGGTCTGCTGCTGATTGGCTGGAATGTGTCTGCTGACTGTGAGGTACAGGGTCAAAGTTTACTCAATGATGAGTCCGCGGCGAACCGTTCGGGACATCACTATCCCTTGGCGCTGGGTCAGTATCTTCCTCTGCTCCACCTCTGCCAATGTCAGGCAGCAGGGGGACCTAATGCACATGCGCGGCAAGCACCGCAATTGCATTAGGACCTCCCCATAGGAAACCAATTTGTAATGCTTTCCTATGGTTTTTGTTTGATGCTGGATATCCTCATGCAAAGCGTGCAAAGTTTAGGATCCATTTAAAGGGACACTCCAGGCACCCAGACCACTTCTGCCCATTGGAGTGGTCTCAGGGCCAACTCCCACTACTCTTAACCCTGCAAGTGTAATTATTGCAGTTTTTTATAATAATAATATAATAATTACCTTGCAGGGTTAACTCCACCTCTAGTGGCTGTCTACTAGACTACCACTAGAGGGCACTTCCTCCTTCATAGCACAGAAAACCTGTGCTAGATCGTCGCCGGACGTCCTCACGCTGTGTGAGGACCTCCAGCGTCAGTCAATTCCCCATAGGAAAGCATTGAAAAGCATTTTCAATGCTTTCCTATGGGAAGCTCTAATGCGCATGCGCGGCATTGCCACGCATGCGCATTAGGTCTCCCTGGCCAGTGGGCAGGATCAGTCTCGCCCACCGGCCGACGTAATGCAGAGGAGGAGCGGCGGCGGAGGAAGAAGCAGCGACGTGGGACATGTCGCTGCCTCTGGTAAGTCACTGAAGGGGTTTTCACCCCTTCAGCAACCAGGGATTGGGGGGTGGGAGTGAGAGGGGACCTACAGTGCCAGGAAAACTGATTGTTTTCCTGGCACTGTAGTTTCCTTTTAAAATAAGAACAGTCACTGAGTCACACCACATAAAAACTAAAGATTTAGACTTTAAAAAAAAAAAAAATGACAGACTTTTCTCAAATTAGAATATGTGTAAAGGAGTGATTATCAGACTGGAGCAGTTTAAATGGAGTCCAAGAGAAATGGGATTATTTAAAAGTTGCACTGCTGAAGATAACAGAAAATTGCATTAGGCTTGTCAGTAAATGCAAAAAACTATAAGAAACAACTGTGATAATCCGCAGATATGGCCAAAATAGTAAAAAACTAAAAGTTAGCATTTAGTAATTGTAAAAAAAAAACAAAAAAAAAAACAGAGTGAGGAAGATAGACAGATCTATAAGATTAGGCAGAAAGAGGCTAAGCAAGTTATAACAGCTTCCAAATCACACACAAAAAAGAAAATAGCACAGGGAACAAATGTTGTGACCATTCACAAGAAAGGTAGTAAGGAAAGTAATGGAAACTATGTTAAAGGATAGGATTGTTGAACATCTGAAATCACATGAATTTCAAGATCAGAGACAACATGGGTTTACTTCAGGGAAATCATGCCAAACTAATCTTATTGATTTTTTTGATTGGGTAACTAAAATAATAGATCAGGGTGATGCAGTAGACATTGCCTACCTAGATTTCAGTAAGGTTTTTGACACTGTTCCACATAGAAGGCTCATCAATAAACTACAATCTTCAAGTTTGGATTCCAATATGGTTGAATGGGTTAGGCAGGGGCTAAATGGCAGGCAACAGATGGTTGTTGTCAATGGAGTATATTCGAAGCAAGCTCTAGTTGCTAGTGGGGTACCTCAGGGATCTGTACTTGAACCCATTCTCTTTAATATTTTTTTATTAATGATATTGCAGAAGGTCTTGATGGTAAGCTATGTCTTTTTGCTGATGACACTAAGATATGTAACAGGGTTGATGTTCCAGGAGGGATAAGCCAAATGGCAAATTATTTAGTTAAACTAGAAAAATGGTCAGAGTTGTGGCAGCTGACATTTAATGTGGATATGTGCAAGATAATGCATCTTGGACGTAAAAACCCAAGGGCAGAGTACAGAATATTTGATAGAGTTCTAACCTCAACATATGAGGAAAGGGATTTAGGGGTGATTATTTCTGATGACTTAAAGGTAGGCAGACAATGTGATAGACATTGTAATGCTAGCAGAATGCTTGGTTGTATAGGGAGAGGTATTAGCAGTAGAAAGAGGGAAGTGCTCATGCCATTGTACAAAACACTGGTGAGACCTCACTTGAAGTATTGTACACAGTACTGGAGACCGTATCTTCAGAAGGATATTGATACTTTAGAGAGAGTTTAGAAAAGGGCTACTAAATTGGTTCATGGATTGCAGGATAAAACTTACAAGGAAAGGTTTAAGGATTATTTTAACATATATAGCTTGTAGGAAAGATGAGACGGGGGGATATGATAGAAATATTTAAATCCATAAAGGGAATCAACAAAGTAAAGGAGGAGACTATATTTAAAAGAAGAAAAACTACCACAACAAGAGGACATAGTCTTAAATTAGAGGGACAAAGGTTTAAAAATAATATCAGGAAGTATTACTTTACTGAGAGGGTAGTGGATGCATGGAATAGCCTTCCAGCTGAAGTGGTAGAGATTAACACAGTAAAGGAGTTTAAGCATGTGTGGAATAGGCATAAGGCTATCCTAACTATAAGATAAGGCCAGGGACTAATGCAAGTATTTAGAAAACTGGGCAGACTACATGGGCTAAATGGTTCTTATCTGCCCTCACATTCTATGTTTCTATGTATGCAAACTCCATGTGATAACAAGACAGTCAGAGTTAGACTGGAGATTGATAGACTAGGTTGGTTATTAGAGTGGAAACATTCATGACCACTCCAACGCTACCTCCTATTCCATCTCCCTTCCACAAATATAATATAGACCAGACTATGGTATACTGCAGATTATTGAAAATAAAACTAGAATATAGGCAGGCATCATGGTAATATGGTAAGTAGGGTATTATTATTTTAATTTTTTTGTGGTACATTATAAACAGAAAGAATTGACGTGTGTTATTCTTATTTTCATTTAGAGAAAGATGGGGGAGGTTAAAGGGGATATATTAATGTCAGTTTATTTTTATACAGGTTTTCTAAATACTAAATAAATTCAATGCAAATCCAGGAGTATAATATGTAACCAATCACCAAAATATGGGGTCAGAGAGGACTTTCTTGTTCCGAATGTTTTTTGTCTTTCTCTGGATCAATAAATCAACATTTTTCCATTTGTCAAAACGTTTTGTTTCTTAATCTTCATTATAAATAAAGTTTAGAAAAAAAAGTTTTGGGACCTACATGTTCCCTTTAACATCTTCAAAATCCCACCATGAAGGCTCACTGGCTATTTCTGATTACGTTCTGATCACATTTAACGTCTTAGTCAGAAATCATGGGGCTCACTGGGGTATTGTGGCTCTTTTCTACCTTTAGCAACTTGCAGATTTGAATAAGTCTGTGCTGTCTTTTGTTCCCCTCCCCTTTATCTACTTTAGATTATAAATTTAAATAAAAGTGATTACATTTATAATCGAGATTTTGTTCACAGCAATCTCCTTACTGTTTCTACCCATATGTATTTTAATAATGGTATAATGATGATAAATAATGTATTGTACTGCTATCAGTCTCTCTGTCTTTTTAGCGTACACATTATAAAATGCTAAGGAAAATTGTGGTTTATAAATGTAATATTAATAAAATAACAATGACTAGCAGAGAGGATATTTTCCTATAAAAGAAAGTACGAAAAATAGAGATGTGGAATTATTTGACTAGAAGTTATTTTATTAGATTCAGTTATCCTTAAATACATAAAGCACTTGAGTTTTCTGAAGTGCTTTAAATTTGCAGAAAGTGCCTTTTTGTTCAGTTTATAAAAGTGATATTTTCAATAGAAATCAGAACTTTCATAAACGACTGGTTTAAATCCTCCCTGGTTGGCTGACTTCCTTGCTGTATTCTTTTGCATCCATTAGAGGAACACTATAGCTCATCGAAGTGGTCTGGGTGCAGTGCGAGTTTAAAGGGACACTGTAGGCACTGTGTCTGCTTCATCTCATTAAACTGGTAATCGTGTCAGGAGTTCCCGGGTACCATCATTTCATCCAGCATTTCCACAGTTTAAAAAAAAAAATTTATGTTTTAATGCTAAATGAGAGTTTCCCAGCAGCCTATCCCCTCTGTGCTGCTTTGGCTAATGAGGAAGTATTATCCTAAACAGCAATGGGCAGTTGTGACTGGTCTAGAGTGTCAGCCGACTACTTTTAGCCTATCAGAGCTCCATCTGATGGTATGAATGTGTATGACTACAAGGAAGTGTGTAATCTTTGCCTTAGCCATACCTTCAGAAGGGATCGGACTGTGAATGGCCAGGGACCCTTATTTTGTGTTAAGCTGCTCTAAAGTGGTTTATCACTGTATGGACAGTTCCAAGGAACTCCATGCCCTATAACCAATTAAAATAGATGAATTGGTTATAATGACTACAGTGTCCCTTTAACCCTGCAATGGTAATTATTGCAAATATTAATAAACTGTAATAAGTACTTTGCAGGGTTAGCTCAACCTGGACTTCCTGGTGGTTAGGCGACTTTTGGTCGGACATCCTCACATTATACTTGAGAATATCAGTAAAGCGTGAGCTAAAACCCCATAGGAAAGCATTGAGTTAATGCTTTCCTATGAGGTTTTCATAATGCAATTGTCGCACATGTGCATTAGGTCACTGATATCAGCTGGCATTGGGGGAAGAGGAGCGGAGGCGGAGCCTGACCCAAGACCAAGTAACTTTGGCACTGGATTCAGGCAAGTGATAAAAGGGTTCTGTGCTTTCTTTTAGGGGGAGGTTGCTCGAGCGAGAGGGGAGCACTATAGGGTACTAAAGTGCTAGGAAAATAATTTTGTATTCCTAGCCCATAGTTTCCCTTTAACTCCATTGAGCGCTTGGTTAGACTATGCATTAGCCCTGCTAACACTTCTCAATGAGATGTACTACAACAGACTGAGAAGAGTGAATGAGGCCATGCCACAGATGCTTCTTTATAAAAAATTCTCTGATTGGCTAATTTGCCATCACAGGCTGAAAGTCTACGCCAGCAGAAAAAAAACACATTTTAACCTTTTTTGTTTGCTTGTTTTTTTCCTTGTTTTGCAAGGAACAGATATGTGAAAGATTGAACTTGATGGAGATTAAATCCTTTTTCAACTTTAAGTGTGTCATTGTATGGAACGTCATTAATTTATATTAACATGATAACCTGTGGAAAGTATGCATTTGACAATATTACAAACAGCCATAATATACAGAGATTACCAAGTGAATGAACCATCTGGGGTTTTTTTCGGATGCCCCGCCTCGGTCAAATTTTTTTAGGTTACATCACTGATTTAGTAGAGCCTATTATACATAGTAATTTATCACCATGCACATTAAAAGTTGGACAACACCTTGACTTGAATCCATAATTTTCTGTTTCTGATACTTGGCAGCAGTTGTAAGATTTAAGTTTTAGTTTATATGAGCTAAAAATGCAAATTAAGCCCTCCACCTTAACACTGTATCATTTCTCATTGGTTCTAAGCTATAAATTCTGTATTTTGCCACATAAATGGACTGACCTTTACCTGATGTGGTGTCATTTTTCATCTTTGTTAGGACACCTCCCAGAAATGTAAATTATAATATGAAAAAATTACCTTTTATTGGCATTGTTTGAGAAAATGGGTTCTGTTTGATTTATTTAATCTAGATCGCATCAAAACATGTATTAAGGCTGACAGTTATAATAGGTGCAATAGCAAAAGTATGAGCAGTGTGATTCAACTGTATCTGCAGTGATATGTTATCTTCACCGTAAGAGCATATATGCAGGTTCTTTATTTTATTGAAAATTAGATTTAGTTAATGGAAGTTTTATATTGAGGACCTATTCTTGTATAAAAAGTAAAGGGAATCAATACAGTAAAGTAGGAGACTATATTTGAAAGAAGGAAAACTACCACAACAAGAGGACATTGTATTAAATTAGAGGGGCAAAGGTTTAAAAATAATATCCAGAAGTATACTTTACTGAGAGGGTAGTGGATGCACAGAATAGCCTTCCAGCTGAAGTGGTAGAGGTTAACACCGTGAGGGAGTTTAAGCATGCGTTGGATAGGCATAAGGCTATCCTAGATCTAAGAGACTAATGAAAGTATTTAGAATATTGGGCAGACTAGATGGACCGGATGGTTCTTATCTGGTTCTTATCTACCGTCACATTCTATGTTTCTGGGGTAATGTTCTCAAAATTAAGCAGTTACCATGGACACAGTTGATCTACTGCATGTGGATATTGTGCCACTTCAGTGGTGTACTAAGGGGGGGGACAGGCGGGGTGCCACTAGTAGGGCGGGTGCCATGATCCTTGTCTGGGGGACTGGATGGGGATGTGTGAGCTGTGCCCGATGGCAGCTCACACATGCAGAGACCAGCAATTACCAGCTGAACTGGCCGCACGGAAGGAAAGTGGGGGCGGAGCTGATGAAAGTCAGGGGCAGTGCCACACCGGCAGCAAGGGCAGAGCTTAACACTGCCCTTTCCCGCTGCTGTTACTTCTGCACATGGAGGTGAAGCAAAAAGGAATCCTTGCTTCTCCAACTAACAGGCTCCAGGGAAGGACTTCAGTGAATCCACTGATGACTGTGTGTGACTACCTGTAACTGACTGTGTGTGTAACTGTCTGCCTATAATGGTTTGTGTGACTGTCTGCATGTGACTGTGTGAGGTTGCCTGTAACCGTGTGTGTGACTGTCTGTGACTGTGTGCTTGTGACTGTCTGCTTGTGACTGTGTGTATGTGACTGTAACTATGTGTGTGTGACTGTCTGCATGTGACTCTGTGTGTGTGACTGTCTGTAACTGTGTCTGACTGTATGCCTGTAACTGTGTGTGTGTGACTATCTGCCTGTAACTGTGTGTGTGGAGGTGCATGGATTTTGTAAAAGGGATAGGGGTTTTGTATTGGGACAGGAGTCTTGTATAAGGGGGGCTGAGCAGGGAATTTGTAGAAGGGGGCAAGACAGGGTTTTGTAGGAGAGGGGCAGGACATGGGTTTTACAATTTTTGTGCAATACATAAAAAAAAAAAATTTTTTTAAATATACTTAGTCCAACAAGAAAGGTATAACAAGAAATGAATTTTATCTGTTTTGAATGTACACACGCATGCACGCACATATACATTTTGATATACGCACACACATCGACAAATACAGACACACAATTACAATGTGTGTCCGGTAGTGTATATTGGTACCTGTGTGTGAGTCTGGCATTGTGTAACTGTGTATGTGCCTGAGAATGTGTGTCTGGCAAAAAGTATTAGCTCAGATTATTATTTTTATTATTATTTATATAGCGCCAGCAAATTCCCATGAATACAGCCGAAACGCAGCCGTGGTAAATTTCTGACCGGCTGCACACATGGTCCTATGCCCAAAACAGTTCCAGGGTGTTTGGTGCTTTTGCCGGTCGACTTCGGGAGTTCCATGCGAAATAAATACCAAATGCACACTCTGGCTTGTTGGTAGCGTTTGTTCTTTGGTTCATACGAACAAACCTACTGAACAGCGCTCTCCTGACGTGTGGGGAAGAAGCAGGCGTTCGATTTGAGTTCAATGCGATCGACGCCCAAACACTGCTGCCTGCATTCTCGCGAACAAGATACATATGAGCGGCGGCCACTTAGCGGCACAATTTTTCGAACCTACGATGATAGAAATGTCAGGAGAGGTTAACAGAGGTTAACAAGCACAGAGGTGGTCCGCATTCCGTGAGTTGGTTCGGTTCCCGAACAGAACAAATACATTTCATGAACCAAGTCTTTTTATGAGCCAGTTCCATGGCCCATAGTCCTGGGGTAGGAGGCTCCTCCAGGAGCTTGTTGCGAACGACCAGACCAAAGGGCGTTCATCACATTGTGTAGCCTTGACTGTACCTAGAAAGATATCTTTATCTGGGTGTATCTATGTATCTTTGTGTCTGTGAGTGAATGTGAAGCTACTACTGCAGCTTGTTGTGTGTATGGGGAGGGACTTCTTGTGGTATTTATGGTGTGGCTGAGTTGTAAGTGTGATGGGTGACTTGTGGGTATGAGGGTTACTGTCTATGGAGGGTGCCTGTGTTTGAGAGTGACTGTGTTTCTGTGGCTGACAATGGCAGGGTAACTATGTGAGGGGTGAGTATTGCAGGGTAACTTTGTGTGCAAGGTTGGGGGGTAATTGTTGATTGTGTGTGATGAGTGAGTGTGACAGGGTGACTCTATGTGTGTGTGTGGGGGGGGGGGAGTGACAGCATGAGCTGGGGGGGTAGATTGTGTGTGTTTCCAGCCTTCTCACATACTGCAGCTTGTGCTTTTTTTATTTAGTTGAGCCTCCACCCTGCTTACCTTCTCTGCAATTCGAGGAGCTCTTGACTCCCTGGTGGTTGAGCAGT